TATGCTGAAATTATAGCAATGCAGGTCATAATTTGCACATAAACTAAGTGTGAACTGTTTTGAGGTGGTTTTTCAGCTCCAGCCCGGTCCATTTGACTGTTTCCCTCATTTTATCATCAGTCTCATTTACCTCAGAACCTTTAGAGATACAAGAATGCTCTTCTTCACACTATTCACAGCCAACAAAACACTTTCAGAGGACAAAGATGGCAAAATGGTCTCCCAGTTTAAGACGGATTAATGTGCAAACCCATTCCCGCCACTTATTATTAATAAAAAAAATAATTCTTAAATGAATTGCTTTGTCATTATTTTGAAATACCATGTCATTAAAAGCTAGAAATATGTTATCTTGTTATTTTGAGATGCTAAGTCATTATTTTGAGATACTATCTCATTCTGAGATGCTAATTCATTATTTTAAGACGCTGTCATTATTTTGCAATACTGTCTCTTTATTTTGAGATATTTTCTAATTATTTTGTGATGTTAAGTCATCATTTTGAGATACTATCTCATTATTCTGAGATGCTAAGTCATTATTTTGAGATACTATTCTGTTATTTTGAGATGCTACTCATTATTCTAAGATGCTAAGTCATTATTTTGAGATACTATTCTGTTATTTTGAGATGCTATCTCATTATTCTGAGATGCTAAGTCATTATTTTGAAATACTATTATTTTGAAATGCTAATTCATAATTTTGAGGTGCTATCTCATTATTTTAAGATATCTCATTATTTTGAGATGTTATTTAATTATTCCGATATGCCAAGTCATTATTTTGAGATACTTTTTCAATATTTCAAGATGCTAAGTCATTTTTAGATATCATTATTTTGAGACACTGCCTCATCATACTGAGATGCTTTCTCACGATTTTGAGATGTTCTATGCTATTGAGATGAAAATATAAACTAATATATATATATATATATATATATATATATATAAACTAAACATATTCTAAAAATAATTAGAAAACATCTGAAAACAACAAGAACGTTTCTCAAAATGACGAGAAAGCGTCTCAGAAAAATGGAATTTGTTTACATGCAAAACCACTCCTAATTCATTTCTACACGACCACATACAATGAAAAGGGCTGTTTGTGCTGTTGTGGCTTTATATGGCTGACATATGACAAATGAACTTTGTTCTGATTGGCCATCCTGTACTGAGCCTCTTTCAAAAAGCAGCCTGAAACACTCAAACTTATAACTTCAGCATGAGTGAGTGGGGCTCAACTAGGCCGAGTAGACAGACATATGTAAAAGGGTTGGTTTGTGATGTCACAAAAACATTGAATTTAAAATGGGCCATGGCCTAAGGTCACCATGCCCAATGCCAAGCGTAGGCTAGAGGGGTGTAAAGCCCCCCAGCATTGGGCTGTGGGTCAGTGGAACTGCGTTCTCTGGAGTGATGGAGCTCCATTCAATGCCTTTGGGATGAGTTGGAGTGATCCAGAACAACCATCCAACATCAGTACCTGACCTCACTGGAGGCCCTTGTACAGTGACCTGTACAGTGTCCTGTACACATTTTGAACGCATCCCTTGTGTTCTTTGGGGTCCGTTTGACCTCAGGCTCTTTTAGCTCTATAAAACCTCATATCAACATCATAAATCATGATGATGAAGTCAAAGTTACTGTCATGCTGGTTTCAAGAAGCACGTTTGAGTAGATCTGTCAATACAGACAGGCCTGAGCTGAATCATAAACACACTTAGAAAGATACATAACTCAAAATAAAAGAAAATAATAAATCTAGGCAAGAATTATAAGCACAATTTAGAATTTTATATTCATTTTAAATACATTTTTAAGAAATCCTCACCTGGTTGATTGACTGGTGTCTCCACAGTCATTTCTTTGGTTAATTTTTCCAGATTTCAGAATTCATTTATGAATATCTTCTCTTTTCTCTCTGTTCATGCATTGTGGACTAATAGAAATGTCTAATAAAATATCATTCCGGAGAGACTAAAGCACTTTTTCACTATTTATGGCCCTTTTCTGAGACAGCAGGCCTCCTAATCCAGACAGTGAGCCTCAGCTCAGTCCTTCATGCTTCTGTGCTCCTACAGTCTGAGTATTAAAGCTGCTGTTGCGGATTCCCTCCACTGACCCCACGGTGGACACCTGCCCCGAGACGGGCGCTACACAGTTGTTTGCAGAAGTTTAAACACCTCTGGTCAAATTCCATGTTATTGTTGATGTTCTGAGTGCAAATAAGTCACCACATCAAGTCAAGTCAAGTCACAGTTTATTCATATAGCGCTTTTTACAACAGGTGTTGTCACAAAGCAGCTTTACAGAAAAATCCGGGTCCGAGCCCCCATGAGCGTCGCCATTGGCGACAGTGGCAAGGAAAAACTCCCAAAGAGCAAGAGGAAGAAACACTGAGAGGAAACAAGGCCCAATCCCATTTCTTCTTTTTACCCCCACCCCTTGTTTTCGAGTGTCACCCTAACCCCTTGGAACTGAGTTACAGGGTAGTGGTTGAAATCTTCCCTCTGAAATGAGACCCTCAAATAAAAAGAGCATCACTTCATTAACAGCTACCAGCGCTGCTCTGTAGGCGACCCTGCCAGTCTGCAGTGACAGCAGAGGAGGGTAAAGTTCAGCTCCTCACTGCTGGGCTTTAGTTACATTTAGGGCATCATATGATCTTCAAAGAGGGGGCAATTATTTATTATCACCCACCCCTAATTCTTCAGTGATATGAAGCTGAAGTCAGATATTCTCCAGATTCTTGTTTGAATTTTCCTGTTCCACCTTAAATGGTGCAGCAGTTCTGATACCTGAGGCACCGGAATGTAACTGCTGGACCATTTAAGGTGGAATGGGAAATTTAGCTAGCTAGCTACCAAGACATTAGCATGCTATTAGCGATTTTCTATGTTTGTTATGAAGAAAACGACCATAATACACTGAAACGACATTAAACTAAGATAATAAGATGATTATTGTAATTTTTAACCATGAAAATTCTCACATTTGTGGGTTTCTTTGGTCTCTTGTTCTCCATCTTTGCCAGTTTTCTGTTTTTCTCGTAACTCTCTGTTTGGAGTCTCTGAAAAACCTCTGTTTGGAGGGTCATGTAGCCCCAACACTTCACCCTACCCCTCTATCTCAACAAAAATTGGGACCCCCTACCCCTAGACATGAACGCGCAAAACAGGGCTAAGGCCTAAGTGGTAGGGGCAAGGGGTGAAATAGGATTGGGCCTAAGGCTCAAAAGGGGAACCCATCCTCCTCTGGTCGACACCGGAGAGCAAACAGCATTAATATAAAATATTAGAATCCCAAACTGGGAAAACAGGTGGAGCAATGGTTATGCAGATAGTTTGAGTTTATGGAGCAGCAGCACGTCCTCTACAGAGACACACTTCTGCACATTCGGGGAAATAAAAATACGTTAAACGTGGCCTTTTTTGTGTTTTATTTTTTCCAATGTGTTAAACTCTAATAAACAGTAATAATGTATTAAAATGTGCAGACGTGTGTCTCTGTGTTCACTTATTTACACTCAGAACATCAACAACAACATGGAATTTGACCAGGGGTGTATAAACTTTTGCATATGAATATTCACACACACATTATTGACTTGGCAGGTTTGACATTTGTAAATGTTCAAATGTGAAAAGTAGCTTTGGGCAATTTTGGCTGTTCAAATTTGGAGAAAATAGACAAACATTAACTTTAAGTATCAAAGACTGTAATACCAAAAATGGCCCATAGAAAAGTGCATTTTCAGTCTTGTTTCCAAATTTTCCGTCAATTTTCAGAACAGTTTTCTGTCTTATTTCAGAGCAGTTTACCTTCTTGCTTCAGAAAAATATTCTGTTTTGGTTCTGAGTAATTTTCCGCTTTGGTCTGGAATAGTTTTCAACCTTGTTTTGGAATAATGCTTATAATAATAACTTAATTTTCCGTTTTGTTGTGGAATAGTTTTCCATCTTGTTCCTGAGTAGTTTTCCGTCTTGGTTCAAATGTTCAATGTTTAAATATGAATGATGATGAATGATGCTGTAGCTTTGGATGAAATACAGGCACTTTTGGCGCAAACATTTAAGAAAATGGACAAAAATGAAGTTTAAGTATTAAAGTCTGTAATACAAATAATAAGTAATTAATTCAATTAAGAGTTTGAATACAGTTTTGCTTCCGAGTAGTTTTCCTTTGTGTTTGTTTTTGTTTGTTGTCTTGTTTCCATCTTGTTTTGGAGTAATTCTCTGCTTTTTTGACTTGTTTTGGAAAAGTTTTCCATCTTAGTTCAGAATATTTTCCACCTTGTTTTGGATAGTTTTCCCTCTTGTTTTAGAACAGTTTTCTGTGTTCTTCCGAAGCAGTTTTCAATTTTGTTTCAAAATAGTTTTCAGTTTGGTTTTGGAAAAGTTTTCTGTCTTGTTTCATTATTTTTTTCCATCTTGTTTCATTATTGTTTTCTGTGTTGTTTTGGAATAATTTTCTATCTTGTTTAGGAATAGTTTTCTGTCTTGGTTTGGAATACTTTTCTGTCTTGTTAAGGAATAGTTTCCTATCTTGTTTAGGAATAGTTTTCCATCTTGTTCAGAACAGATTTCCATCATGTTTTGTTATTGTTTTCTGTCTTCTTTTGGAATAGTTTTCTATCTTTCTTAGGAAAAGTTTCCATCTTGTTTCGGAATCATTATTTTGTCTCGGTTTGAATAGTTTTCCGTCTTGTTTAGGAATAGTTTTCCATCTTGTTTGGGAATCATTTTCTGTCTTGGTTTGGAATAGTTTTCTGTCTTCTTTTGGAATAGTTTCCTATCTTGTTTGGGAATAGTTTTTTACATTTTGTTTAGGAATAGTTTTCTGTCTCGTTTAGGAATAGTTTTCCCTCTTGTTTCGGAATCGTTTTCTGTCTTGTGTCGGAACAGTTTTACATCGTGTTTGCTCATTGCTTTCCGTCTTCTTTCCGTCCAGTTTCCTGTTTTGATTTCCGACTGGCCCTGAACGCTCCTCTCCCTCCCAGAATGCACTGCTCCGCGGCCTCCGTGTGTTTGTCTATGTTGTTCTGCTGGCGTTTCTGACGCGTTTGAGTTTCTGAATCCCGAAACTTCGTCTTTTATATTCCGCTGCTCCGGTTTGTAACCCGCCGCGCCGTGTTCGCCGCCCTGTGCTCCGTCTCCGATGCGCTCAGCGGCCGCGCCGACAGAATAAGCGGGACTCTCCGAGCTGATGGCAGCCAGCGGCCCAGGTACAACCCCCAGCCTCCGCCGGCCAGGCTCACAGGCTAACGGCGGAAAATCAGCGACAGCGGGGAAAACAGACAATAAAACCGAGTTTGCTCGTCGGGATGAAGGAATATAGACATTTAGGCGTTTTATTAAGCCTTTATTTAAACGTATTGAGCGAAATAACCGATTTAAACGCGGCGGCAGAGCTTCATTGGTCAACCGCGCTAGCACTGCTAGCGTTAGCTACGTGCTAACCTCGGCTAGGTTATATGTAGATTTATAAACCATTAAGTTGTTATTTTGCGACTTGTGTGACTAAATAAGTAACTTTTCCCAGTAGCAGATGTGAATTTGGGTCGGGGAGGGACATTTTTACGAAGCTGGTGTCAACTTTTCATTATTCACCAGCTTCTTGTTTGAATATGCCCGTTCCACCTTAAATGGTGCATCAGTTAATAACGGATGCAGCTACTATTTAAGGTGGAACGGGAAAATTCGATCAGGAAGCCGACTTCAGTCTCTTGACATGTTTATTTCCATCATTATCCCGAGTAAGTGTTAACGGGCTAAGCTAACGGTCCCGTTTTTAAAAACAAGCGCGATTCCAACTTCTTTAGCTTCAGCTTCTCGTTTTCTGAAGGTTTTGGTCGCGATAGCGTTCAGATTTTTGGTCAGCGCCTCAAATTAAACCCTTTCAAGGCGCTTCTGTGCGATTTTATTAGCTGTAGTAATGCTGAATGTCGATGTTCAAGGCAGGGGGCTAATGTGGTCTTTATCGTTCCTCAGTATTGTATACATTGGAACCAAATGCTGTTCTTTAGGCCCAAAACACACAACAGCAGCACATCACACAGAACTGAACAGAGCTTAGATACACAGCAGTGCGGAGTAGATCAAACACCACGCACTGAACAGATGGTTCTTCAGTGGTCCTTTAGTAAAGGAAATGGTTCTGTGTAGAACCCTGACCGATCAAAGAACCCTTCTGCATGATTAAAAGGTTCTTTGCGTCGTGAAAGGGTTCTTTGGATTGATTGAAAACGTGCATGAATGTGCTGTAGATGGTTCCGTGCAGAACCGTTTTGAAAATTGTTCTGTATAGCATGATTAAAGGGTTCCGTGCATCATGAAAGGGTTCTTCAGACTTATGGCGAATGTATTGTAGATAGTTTTACATATAAATTCTTATTGAAAATGGTTCTGTAAAGCACCAGAGTGGTTCTGCTGTTGTTACAAGCTTGACATCATCACAATAGAAGAACCTTTTTCAAAAAGATTCTTTCTAGAACCATCTACGCACTTAAAAAAAATGGTTCTTTAGTGAAGAAGCTGGTTCTATATAGAACCATGAACACTCAAAAGAACCTTTGCATGATTAAAGGGTGCTTTGCATTGTGAGTGGGTTCTTCAGACTGATGGAGAATGTGTTGTTGATAGTTCTATATAGAATCTTTTTGAAAATGGTTCTGTAAAGCACCAAAGTGGTTCTGCTATTGTTACAAGCTTGACATCGTCACCATCTATGCACTTAAAAATGGTTCTTGAAGGGGTCTTTAGTGAAGAAGCTGGTTCTATATAGAACAATGAACACTCAAAGAACCCTTTGCATGATTAAATCGTTCTTCAGATTGATGGAGAGTGTGTTGTTGATGGTTCTATATAGAATCTTTTTGAAAATGGTTCTGTATAACACCAAAAAAGGGTTCTTCTGTTGTTGCAAGCTTGAGATTGTCACGATAGAAGGACGCTTTTCAAAAAGGTTATCTATGGAACTATCTACCCTCTTAAAAATTGGTTCTTCAAGGGTTCTTTAGTGAAGATTCTGGTTCTATATAGAACCATGAACACTCAAAGAACCTTTTGCATGATTAAAGGGTTCTTTGCAGCATGAAAAGGTTCTTCAGATTGATGGAGAATGTGCTGTAGATAATTCTACGTATAAAACCTGGTTCTTCTGTTGTGACACGTTTCCATGCTCTTGAGTAATCAGATAATGGGGAAACTCCAGGTCTACATGAGTCAGACAGTAATCAGATTTCTGCTTTACAACCAGCCAGTAAACTCACAGAAGAAGACGAGACTTAAACATAATGTAAAACTCAAACTTCATGTCATGGCTTTGTTTTTTTTAGACATCGCGCCGCTTTACCTGAAAATATGAACGTACATCATCTAGAAGATGAAGAATATTCAAATCCTTCATTTCATCAAGCATGTATTTGGTTTCAGCGTCGCTCCAAAAGTGTTTTGCTTCGTCTCGCGGCGACGCTGCTTATTTCCGGTACCGCCGTCTGTTTACACACATGCTCAAACTGAGAAATCCGAAAGAAATCAGAGTAAGAGTTCACACACACTGGAAAATCTGATTACTGAGCTAAAATCCAGCCTGATTTCTTAATCAGATTTCTAGAGAGTGTGCTGTTTACATGACCATTTGAATAATCAGATAACTGCAGAAATCTGATTATCATTGGATTATTCAGTGAATGTAAATTTTAAGACATGAAGTAAACTGATTTTCTAAGCATTATGAACCAGATTTATTACAGGAAAAGCTTGATTAATATTAGGGTTGATTGGCCAAAGACTACGTTCACATTACCAGGTCGAAGTGGCACAAATCTGATTTTTTTTTTGTCCTAATGTGACTCAGATCTGATGTTTTCAGGGCTGTGTGGACACGCAAATCTGATCTTTTCAAATCCGACCTGAGTCACTTTAGCTACGTTCACATTACAAGTCTTGCTGCTCAGATCTGATTTTTTGCTCAAATCCGATCTCTGTGACACGATGGTTCACACTTGTTTAGGTAAGTGACTCAAATCTGTCATCAATGTGACGAACCGGCGTCCTGAAATGACCCTCATGAGCTCATCCTACTCAGTAACGTCACGTGAATGAATCACGTTCATCATCAGCACAAACTAACGAGCAGAACGAGCTTCGCTGAGAAGATCATTAACTCTGATCAGCTCTCAGCTTCATTATTAGAGCGAGACGAAGGAGAAAAAGGTGAGATGAGCTGCTTTTCCACCGTTTACAGGCTTTAACTTCTGTTCGGCGCTGCTGCCATGGTAACGCTGAATGATGGCGCAGTGGAAAAAAAGCACATGAATTCTGATCTGAGCGTCACATTAAGGTCGCATGGCCACGAATCGGATACGTATCCGATCTAGGACCACATGTGAAAGTGGCTCAGGTCGGATCAGATCAGATTTGTGTCCACACAATCCTGAAAACATCATATCTGAGTCACATTAGGGCAAAAAATCAGATTTGTGCCACTTCAGCCTGGTAATGTGAACAGAGCTAAAGTGAAGTGATCATTTGTGCTTGGTTTTGTTGCCTTTTCATTACATAGTTGATCATAAAGATCTTCCACATGGTATTAATGTGTCCGATCCACAGCTGGTGTTGTTAATATTAAACATGTTTCTCTGCTCATCCCAGATGACGAGTTTGAGTACGATAAGCCGGGAGCGGAGAGGTCGAGGAGACGAAGAGGAGATGACGACGATGACCTGGACAGGTGAGTGAGACGGTGCTTAATGTCATAAAACTCAGATTTGCTTCATTTGCTTCACAATCAGGAATAAGACACCTGTAAAATTGAACAAGTGTAGCATATTAGTCATTTTACATCCCTTCTGCTGTCAGATTGGTGGAAATTACTGATTCCAAACCTTTAAACAGAAGAGTATCAGCTGTAAATTCACACAAATCTCATCGCTGTTCAGCTCGGACGCCTGTCACTTCACCACAATCGGCAGTTTGTGTTGTCAGACCTTATTAAGCTGTTACTCCGGCGTGTCTCATGCTGGTTTGTTCCTTTGAAGTGTCTTTGAAGATCTAGATTCATAAGTGAACGTGGCTGAACGAATGTCTTAAATATCGTTTTGAATTTCTCACTTCACAGCGATTTGGAAGGTGACTTGCTTGAGGAGGACTGGCTTTCATCTAAGAAGGTATTGCGTCATTGTTGCTTTCACATCCTGGTGCTATGAGAAATGACTAGGGGTGTAAAAGTGTTTGAAGGTGGAGATTCAACTGGATCAATTTCAGACTGTGTTATGATCGTTATGATTGATTATAATATTGAATTAATCTTCTTTTTACATTTACATTTTTGCCACTGGACTCTTATTCAGAGTGTCTCACCGTTTAATCGTAGCCAATTTGAAAACTAGGGTTCTTATTTTCTGTGTAGTTTTGGCACAACAGGGTCAAAAATGGCTTTGGCTTTTTTAGCCACGCCCACTGCTAATGTTTATAATCAAACACAGCCATATAGTCTCTACAAACACCAGCAGCAGAACGAATAGAACAGTCATAGGTTGCTGCCTGTTTCTGCCCTGCTAGAGCTGCCCTGGACAACAGTAAGTGCTGTTATTTGGAAGTTCACTCTTCAAAACATGGTTCTTCAAGGGTTCTCTAGTAAAGAAAATGTTTCTATAAAGAACCATGATCGCTCAAAGAACCCTTTGCATGAATCTTTGCATCGTGAAATGGTTTTTCTTATTGATGGAGAACGTGCTGTAGATGGTTTTACAGGCTTGTTACAGTAGAAGAACCCTTTTCAAAAAGGTTCTATATGGAACTATCTATATGACATTCGTGCATGTTTTCCATCAATCCGAGGAACCTGTTCATGATGCAAAGAACCTTTCAATCAGGCAAAGCGTTCTTTGAGTGTTCATAGCGCTATATAGAGTGTATTGTTGATGGACGAGTAACCCGATGATGTGTAAAAGGTAATAATCGCTGTTTTGGTAAAAGAGCTGTAAAAGAACAGCTAAAACGACTGGATGTTGCCGTAGAGCAGCTAAGTTAACTCTAACCTGGAGAGAGAGTTCCTCTGATCCTCGTCTGCGGCCAGAGGTCTCAGAAAAATCTAATAGATAAAATTAAATAAAACCTACACGTTTTATTCACTTTTACTCTTAAAACGTTGAATCATAATGAGATTTAAATTTAAAGCTCCAGTAGAGTTTTGTTCATTTTTATAGCTCACAGTAACTCATACTGTACCCTAAACCACATCTACAAGTCTGTGCCACTTCAATGAAGACCTGGATACAGTTTAAAGGCTGTTTTTGTATCTACAGAACAGAGTCGAGTAACTATTGCTTTCTAGAGCTTGTTAGCAATGTCAGTCTCATAGCTTCAGTCTAAGCTCTAAACAGATTCTGTAAATCTAAACATGCCCAGGCCGATTGACTGAACCTGGGAAAAGCAGAGTACCGTTAGAGCCGATGTCAGGAATTGTTGTCATTGTAATACTTTTCTCTTCCAGAATCCCTCAGAACTGTCAGATGAAGAGCTGAATGATGATCTGCTGCAAAGTGATGAGGAAGATCAGAACACAAGGTGGGTCCACTGTCTGATTGAAGCCCGTTTGTTTTAATGATGCAGGACTTGGGCTGCAGTAGTTATTCATAAACGACACAGATTATGTTGAAGATCAACAGGTGATACAGGTTCAAATTTCCGTACACTGTTCTGAACATTGTTCTTTCCCTCTCAATACTGTGTCAAAGTCGTTACACCCTTAATAACTCGGGCTGGACCAAATACTACAATTACATTGCAACATACTCTGATATGCTTTGCAATATATTAGAAAGCTGATGTGAAGAAAGACCGGCCTGTATTGTTTTGGCCAGAATTCCTTTGTTTGTTGGTTTGAAAGTCGCGATGCATCCAAATACCCAAACACCTGTGATCGGAAAAGGTGGGCGATGTGACTAAATCCAGAAGTTGAGGCTTGTCCAATAGGAATGTTCCTCTTCTTTTATTGGACAGGCTTATTTTTTTGATTCAAGTTATCCAGCTAAAGCCAGGCATAGTTATTGTTATTTGATAACTTGCGCTGTATGTGTGAATCATCCAGACAAAGCGATTTATATGCTCACATTGTACGAAAACACTCAGTCCGACTGACATGACGCAAAACGGGTGCTCATGCCGTCTACAATAAAGCTGTTTCATTCAAAACAACACGCTGCGCCTCCGAGTCCTGGCCAAAACACCGTCTGAATCTCAAATCTCAAATCTCTGCTCCCTACATAGTGCACCACATATTAAAATAGCTGCTCCTGCACCCATACAGTGCATCACATATCTAATAAACAGCCTTCTGAGATTCAGCCATGTGTGCACTGTTCCATACTGGACTTACAGGGCACTATTTTGGTGTAGAAGCCAAATTCAGCCATTGACAAACCGCTACAACAGCTTTGCTAACTGGTGCCACACTGTGCACTGAAGCTGCTGAAGAGCAGGCGGCTCCACAGGCAGCTCTACACAGACAAAACACACTTGATTTATTTATACCTTGCGATTCAACTCAGTCAAACGGAGCAAAGTCGTCATATACGACGCTGGTGCTGCAAATGTGGACTTCTTTGCCTCCGTGTAGAAGCGGTGGCTGTGATTGTGTGGCTTTGCGTGCGACTTAGAAAAATCGGTTCGTGAGGCTGCTCACGCTGTGAGACAAGTGGCCAAAATTTCGGACATATCAGAAATCCATCTGACTGTCCGACTGCTCAATCAGCTCGTTTGGGCAGTTAATCAGGCATCATTTGTCCTCTCACGCTGCACGGCAAACGACGGCTGATGAAGCTGAAATTTGGCCCAATCATGAAATTCAGTCGGCTCTGACCAAATTGGGCTTAGAAACCGCACAGTGAATGTCTGGCTCAACCGAGAATTCCTTTGTGAAACGCCCCCATGTTTGTTTGTTTTTGTTTGTGTGTTCAGTGGACAGGGTGAAGCGGTCAGTCTGAATGCGACTCTGGGCCTCAGCACCTCCTACGACCTGCAGGGAGAAAACCTGGAAGGAGGAGGATACGGAGAGGAGGGATATGAAATGACAGAGGGAGGGTTCTCCCAGGAAGAGGAGGGGTACAAAGCGGAGGAGTATGGAGAAACGGAAGAAGGGATGGAATACACTACAGGACAGAACGCCGAAGCGTATGAAGACGAAGTGCTAGACCTTCAGATTGATGAACCACTGGATGATGAATTTCAAGTGAGCATTTCTCTCTCTCTCTCTCTCACTCTCTCTCTCTCTCTCTCTCTCACTCACTCACTCACTCACAAACTAGGCATATAAATCCACTCTCCCGCCACATTTTAGCTTTATTTCTTTCCTATTTTTGAACTTGTGATGTATTTTTCTAGATCTTCTGATGCTCCTGACATCCCGAGATACATAATTCATAATCGTTTAGCCCATGTCACACCAGAAACAGTAACCGTGCCACATGACATCATCAATGTAGCCTTTCACACCGACGCACTTGAAGCGCAAAAAAAACGCTTTGGGTCTATTTTTGATGCGTGCCATGCCAGCAGTTTGTAGGCAGAAACGGAAAACGAAATGCAGTGTTTATGCTATCGACCCAAATATTAAGAAGAGCCATTTTGTCCCTTAAACAAAAATCAAACCAGCTTTGGAGCCACAACATTTTATGTCCATTTTACCATCTTGGCTGTAAATATGTCTCACTATGTGACAATGAACCAGTAGAGGCTAAAAAATATAAACGAAAATGCAGACTCGCTTTGGTCTGCTTTAAGCTTTAGGCCAGCTATAGCTGCTTTTCTCGCATCTCCAGCAGAAAACTTTTCCTCAAAAGTAGAGCTGTTTCTGTAAAATGTCTCTCAACATTCGACTTTTTACGAGGCTGAAGCCAGCTGACTGTAGCTTCACGACTTTTTAGTGTTTTAGTTTCTCATTGCAGATTAAACGTATGAGGAAACCAGCTGGAGTGATTATAAACACAAATAAGTCCATTCATCTCCAAATGATCGATGTTCATCTTAAATCTCTCTCTTTGCCGTTTCGTTAGCTACTAGCTAGGCGAGACTGTTGTCTGCGTTGCTATGGTGACCAGCAGTCTGCGCTGATCTTCAGGGTTAAAGGGTGAATCAGCAGTTCTACATTAACTCCAGAGTTTAAGACCATTTATAGTTAAACTGTGTTGAACGATCAGCAGAGCTTTATTTTACTGTAAAGGAGGATTATTTTATTTTTACCTACTAATCTGATTCAGCTGTGGAGCCACAACAGGGCAGTAAAGAGCCGCATGTGGCTCCGGAGCTGCGTGTTGCCGACCCCTGATCTAGTGCATAATTTAAGCTAATAAACAAGTCACCAACTCTAGTTTTAACTCTTTTATAAGGTGATACAAAACCCTTCTGTAGGTCGATGTTGTGAATGCATGTGCATCTCCCCCTCTTCATGCAGCTGTACATCACATGATGAGAAAGTAACAACAGTCACAGCAGCAAGTAGGTTTTTATTAATGACCTCTTCACCTTCATAAAGTGTGTGTGAATAATAAGCGGATAATACAGACGTTTGTGTTTTGTTCAAAATAATTCCTCCTGCTAATTAATCCTCCTCTTGGACTTAAATATTTTGAAAATATTTTTATACATTCTGGAAATGTATTTAGGGTTAGTTTGAGTCTGGGATTGTTTTTAGTGTAGCAGTTTAAGCACTTGCTGATTGTCTTATCCACTGTGCTGTCCAACCACCATTAAGCAGAAAGAAAAGTATTGACTTCTCAACTCAGTCTTGAGGACTCAGAAAACAGTGGATGGTGTTATACTGTTAGTCTGCCAACAGGCTTGGTACAAAATAGTAATTTAATTAAAATAGTAATAAATCACAAAAAATTGATACTTGGACCTCCTTCACAATGTATTGCCGTACTATGATGATGTGACTTTTCTTTTTTGTTTTCCCTCCTTGGAACAAGAGGAGATTGTGGCAGAAAATATAATAATTACAATGATTAATAGATACTTGAAAGGTTTACTTTCAAAATAAATATGCGTTTTTGCGAGTGTACATTACACAATTTCCTGAAACAGAGAAATAAAACTGCTTTTATTTTGTACCTCAGCTGTTATTCTTCTCAAAAACCTTACAATTGGATGTACAGCGTTTTGGAATGAAACTCATTTATTAAGATTAAATTTATGGAAAAATATCTTCTCGTTCAGCCTTAATGAGGCGTAGGTTTGAAAGATAAGCATGTACAGGTTCAGGCCAGCTGATCAGAATCCGTCTCCAGACCCCCCCCTTACATCCCCCTGCTGGAGTGGATGGTTGAGGTCTGTGTGGAGCTGAATGAGCTTATCTGCAGATCCCAGCGCGGTTCCTCCTGCGCTGACGCCGGTGGGACTGAGCGGACTGTCTCTGGCAGCGGTTGACGCGAGCTCGTCTGAGCCCGGGCCCCGTCTCCTCTCGACCGGCAGGTTTTGTTCGGGGTCGAGGGGCTTTTGAGCTGCTTTGTGCTCCGCGGATGCGCTGCCAATCCGCACGGTCTAATGGGAAAAGACCCTCGGACTCGATCTGATAAGACCACCGGGGCGAAAAGATCACTGACCTCGTTTTAAAGGCCCTTTACTGTCCGACGGGCCGATGATTGATGATTCTTTACGTGTTTATTTAGTGCTGAGAGATCAGCGTCTAACGGTGAACTGTTCACACAATTCATAGCTCAGATTCATATGATACGGCGGCGTCTCAATCCAGTACATATGAAGAACCATTTTCATGCTTAAAGGGTTCTTTGCCTGGTGAAATGGCTCTTCAGATTGGAGAACGTGCAGTATATGGTTCTATATAGCACCAAAAAGGGTTCAGCTATTGTTTATTGTTTAGAAAAACCCATTTTGGTTCTATATAGAACCATGTACAAATAGATTCTCTATATATGCACTTAAGGATAGTTCTTAAAAGGTTCTTTAGTAAAGAAATTGGTTCTATATAAAACCTTAAATATTCAAGCCCTTTGCATGCCGAAATGATTCTTTGCATGGTGAATTGTTCTTCAGATTGATGGAGAATGTGCTGTAGATGGTTCTATATAGAACCTTTTTGAAAAGGGTACTATATAGCACCAAAAAGGGTTCTTTCAGTGTAACGAGCTTGACATTGTACACTCTTAAAAATGATGGCTCTTCAAGGGTTTTTAGTAGGGAAAGTTGTTCTATATAGAACCATGAACACGCAAGGAGCCCATTGCATGATTAAAGGGTTCTTTGCATTGTGAAGATGTTCTTCAGGTTGATGGAGAATGTGCTGTAGATGGTTCTATATAGGACCTTTTTCAAAAGGGTTCTACATAGCACCAAAAATGGTTCTTCTATTGTTACAATGTCATGCCAGCACTCTTAAAAAAGATGGTTCTTCAAGAGTTCTTTAGTAAAGAAAATTATTCTATGTAGAATCATGAACGTGATTAAAGTTTTACACTAAAAGGTTCTTTGCATCATGGAAGGATTTGAGAATGTGCTGCACATGGTTCTATATAGAACCTGTTACGATGTCAAGCTTGTAACAATAGAAGAACCCTTTTGGGTGCTACATAGAACCCTTTACAAATAGTTTCTATATAGAACCATGTACAGCACAGTTACCACCAATCTGAGGAACCCTTTCATGATGCAAAGAACCAATTAATCATGCAAATTGTTCTTTGAGTGTTTATGGTTCTATATATAACCATTTTCTTTACTAAAGAACCATTGAAGAACCAACTTTTTGGTTGTAACAATAGAAGAACCCTTATTGGTGCTATATAGAACCCTTTTCAAAAAGGTTCTATGTAGAACCATGCAACACATTCTCCATGAATCTGAAGAACTGTTTCATGGTGCAGAGAACCCTTTAATTATGCAAAGCGTTCTTTGAGTAATCATGATTCTATATAGTACCATTTTCTGCACATAAAGAACCCTTGAGGAACGATCTTTGTGTGTGTATAACAATGGAAGAACTTTTTTGGTCCTTTTCAGAGAGGTTCTATATGGAACCATTTTCTTCACTAAAGAACCCTTGAGGAACGATCTTTAAGTATGTATAACAACAGAAGAACCCTTTTCAGTGCTAAATAGAACCCTTTTCGTAAAGGTTCTAAATAGCACCATTTTTTTTCGCTAAAGAACCCTTAAAGAACCCTCTTTTTTTTTTTTTTTTAGAGTGACCGTGACCTCCTGCGGTTCTGTTATGATCCCGTTCTGGATGCTGTTCCCCATAAACACAGCCGAGTGCTGAGTGTGTATCTCTGTTTACAAGGTGACCCGGCTGAGCTGCAGCCTGGCGTTCCGTGTTTGCCGTTCTCCAGAGTTAATGTGTGGAACAGTTTAAGGGATTAAGCTGTTTGTCCTGCAGGCGAAGAGCCGCCGTGTCTGTGTGTTTGGGGGCGGCGCGGCGGAGACGGCGCTGTACGTTCTCTCCCCAGCGCGCAGCCTCAAATGTTGACATGGGCAAAGTCGGTGCGAGCGCTCGGTACTCGACCGTGACGGAGAAATTAAGGAACGTGTTTTAAAATGCGAGACTTTTACGCTGCGTTTACATTACGGCGACAGCAAACCGGACATTCCGTCGCTTTAAATGCAGCAGTGACGGGGACGTGACCCCGGGAACGGACACAGTGGAGATCCAGTAACACATCAGTACCGTGTTTTTGCGCTGGTTTTTGGCTCTTGCTGATACGGATGTTATAATTCTCTTTATTTAGATCCCCATTAGCTTCCACAGAGGGGCCGCTAGTCTTCCTGGGGTCCACACAGGAGTCAAGTCAAGTCACAGTTTATTTATATAGCGCTTTTAACAAAGGGGTTGTCACAAAGTAGCTTTACAGAAAAATCCGGGTACAAGCCCCCGTGAGCGTCGCCAGTGGCAGGGAAAAACTCCCTAAGAGCAACAGAACCTTGAGAGGAACCAAGACTCAAAAGGAGAACCCATCCTCCTCTGGTCGACACCGGATAGGAAACGGCGTTAGTATAAAGCACCTGCAACCAAAATAAAACAGTCTTTAAAATCATCCCGTATCGTAAACAGGAACAACCAAAACTAACCGTGTTCACACCAGCAGCGACAACTCACAACAACGCGGCCGGAGGTCAGTGAGAGGAGACAGCTCAAACTTTGACGGCGTGAAGTGGGCGGAGTCAGCGACGCCACAAAGTTGAGCGAAGTTTAACTTGACGCAAATAAGGAGCGAAGCGATGTGGCGATTACCAATAGGAATTGAGCATCGATCAGCGTAGTACGTGCCTTATCTCCGCCACTGAAACGTGAAAGACACAGATTAAATACAAATAAGCACACCAGCGATTTCTCACCAGGGTTTTCCATTTTAGCCGGAACACATCTGATTTGTGCTTAGCGTCAACGAAACCACAGCAGCCAACGGTCAGTTTAGTTTTCCAAATTGTTTGGCTCTTATTCTCCAGGGTATATTTTGGTTTTTCCATCTGAATTTCCATGACCAAATCACAAGGCAAATTATTAAGTAACTGCATGAAATAAATGTAAATTTTTATTTTATTTATTTTTTGTAAAGTTTCCCCTCAGATTAACAGAACATGTGTTTTATGATCTACACATATTGCCATATGCTTACAATTTACTGATGAAAGCCAAAAATCTGAGATGCTCTTTGTATTATTTTATAATAATTTTTACAGAGCAGATCACTGAAGAGACGCCATCTGTTTATAGTTTATAGCCCAGATTTGTGGAAAAATGGGTCGACTTTCAGTAGAAAATAAACTGTGAGTTCAGCTTCTTTTATTATAAGGGTTTAAAATTACATCACCATCTATTTGACTGGAGAGAAGACAGTTACAGCTCTCATACGACCCCCACCTTTAGAATGAAGCTTATGAAATATGAAAGTTATGAAGAATATGACGAAGTGTGTTTTGGAACCACCGGTGGTTAATAAAACCCGCAATTTTTCTCTGTTTTCTTCTTATTCAGTCTCCCCAACCCAATAAAACAAAACAATAAAATGAGACATGAACCAAACCGAACCGAACCGTGTCTCGAAATCAGGGTCTGAACTGAACCGTGAATTTGGATGTGAAATTCTAGCCGACTTTAAATTAGGTGTGTTCTGTTCGTTACCTCTGATCGAGTAGCGCTGCAGTGGTGTGGCTACCAAGCTTGTCCAGAAGTTACAGTACAATTTGTATTTTTCCCCAACATGTTAAACAGATCAGTATAAATTGTGCTAAAATTGCGTGAATAAACGTTCTGTCTAAGCGTGTTCTCTGTGGAGGACGTGTTGAGTGTATGAAGGCGTGAATTCTGTATGGGAACTTGCGTAATGATGATATTCGTCACCGAGCTGTGTTTTACACCCAGGAGTGCCTGTGTTTGCGTATCAGGACGACTCGGTCAGTGATGTTCTTCCTATCGCCGAGCCGCCGCGTGTTTATCTGCTGTTTTCTGTGTATCGTGTCAAACATTTACATCTCATTGAATTTCAAATGGCAGCAGGAATAGTAATGGAGCATAGTAATGTGACTGGGATCCCCACTGTTATGCTAATGCAGCGGTGCGCCCTCCGACAACACCCCACGCCCTCGTTCCCCCCCACACACACACACACACACACACACACACACACACCTCGTATCACTACAGTGGGCTCTCTCACTGTTTCGTGTGACGTTTGCTTTTTTTAATTTGCATTCACTTCTGTTGCACACGGTTTGAACGCTAAAGAGCTAGCCACAAGCTAATATGCTTTCCCAGTGCTACGGAGCTAGCCACAAGCTAATATGCTTTCCCAGTGCTACGGAGCTAGCCACAAGCTAATATGCTTTCCCAGTGCTAAGGAGCTAGCCACAAGCTAATATGCTTTCCCAGTGCTAAGGAGCTAGCCACAAGCTAAGGAGCTAGCCACAAGCTAATATGCTTTCCCAGTGCTAAGGAGCTAGCCACAAGCTAATATGCTTTCCCAGTGCTAAGGAGCTAGCCACAAGCTAAGGAGCTAGCCACAAGCTAATATGCTTTCCCAGTGCTACGGAGCTAGCCACAAGCTAATATGCTTTCCCAGTGCTACGGAGCTAGCCACAAGCTAATATGCTTTCCCAGTGCTAAGGAGCTAGCCACAAGCTAATATGCTTTCCCAGTGCTAAGGAGCTAGCCACAAGCTAAGGAGCTAGCCACAAGCTAATATGCTTTCCCAGTGCTAAGGAGCTAGCCACAAGCTAAGGAGCTAGCCACAAGCTAATACACTTCCCCATGCTAAAGAGCTAGCCACAAGCTAATATGCTTTCCCAGTGCTAAGGAGCTAGCCACAAGCTAATACGCTTCCCCATGCTAAAGAGCTAGCCACAAGCTAATATGCTTTCCCAGTGCTAAGGAGCTAGCCACAAGCTAATATGCTTTCCCAGTGCTAAGGAGCTAGCCACAAGCTAATACACTTCCCCATGCTAAAGAGCTAGCCACAAGCTAATATGCTTTCCCAGTGCTAAGGAGCTAGCCACAAGCTAATATGCTTCCCCATGCTAAGGAGCTAGCCACAAGCTAATATGCTTCCCCATGCTAAGAAGCTAGCCACAAGCTAATACGCTTTTGAAGTTCGTATAACGTTGACGGTGTTACAGGTCTGAGCGCAGTCAAGTTCTTTACAGCCAAATTGGCAGATTTTTATTTTTGTCAGATTATGTTTTTTTATTAATCCTAAGCTCAAACTGCGTAAACCGTACTCAAGAACACACATTTGAAGTGTAGCTCAACTTGCAGTCTAAACAACTTTGTTGCTCTTTTATGGGATAAATTTGCTTGTAACATAGGGCTGGTCAATACGACGATACTTAACGTGACATTATCATGGTAAATTACGTGTTGTGGATATCATTAGTAATTAAAAACAAGCCCCAACAGCATATTTTATTACAAAGAATGCATAATTAGTCCCATTTAACTGTGTTTAGTGCAGCACAGTTTGAGTTTTTGAACACTAATCTTTGAGCTCACAGTTTTGGATAGTATTTTTAAATGTGGTGCTACTTTCTTTTCCAAATTATCAGACAAAAAACATGTTGTAACATAAAAAAACATGTTTGCCTAATTTTGCCTAGTTTTGTGTTATACATGAGTTTTTTGATCATATTTGATTGATTGTGCTTCCCGGCAGGTTGATGATTACTCCGGTGATTACGCCGCAGAGCCACGGGAAGGGGAGGCTGACCAACAGGAGGTGCCAGAAGCAGAGGAGGAGGAGCCAGAAGAAGAAGTGGAGGATCAAGATGGCTCCCAGGTTACAGAGTCAGAGGAGGTGAGCGTTGACCTCACTGAACAGAGTACGGCTTAAAAAACACCCAAACACCATGAGGGATGAGTGGAAATAGATGCAGGGGTTTCGGATATTTTTTGAAAGACCTGAAATGACATCTGGAGTTTCTTTATGCATCAGATAAACACTGTGTCTTTATAGAGTATCATATGTTCCACATGGTCATTCTGACAGACTGTAATACACTACAGGAAGTGTAGGGGGCGATATGGCTTCTAGTGTTTCATTTAAAAAGCTCTATAATGTTCATATGATCCACACAGTCACTCTGATAGATTGCACTACACTTATGTATTGGTTGTTGCACATTTGGTGCCAGTAAAGGGAGACGAAACTGAAAAAGAGAAAAATGCTGTAGTTTAGTGTGTGTTTGTATATTAATTGCCATGTCTGCCTCACAGTTGGAGCCGGAGGCTGAAGCTGAAGCTGAACAGGAGCAGGAGGCCGATACAAAAGAAGAATCGGACGAGGATGAAGACGAGGAAGAGTCGGGCCGGCTGCGTTTTAAAACGGAGCGCAAAGACGTTACTGTGGTTCGACTCTCCGACGCTGCCAGTAAACGGAGAAACATTCCCGAAACACTAGGTTAGTCCAGGGATGTCAAATTCAGCCACTAAAATGTCCATATTAAAAACAAATCCAAAGGCCAGAGAGCGCATTAAAGTAGTCTTTAAATAACGTTTTACTCTAACCTAACCTGGCCTTGGTTTATTACAAATAATTAAATATAGGCACTCCTAGTATGTACTTAACATATATATATATATATATATAATATAATATGTGTATGTAATATATGTATATGTACGTGTGTATATGTATGTAAATATATATTGTATATATGTAAATGAAAACAAAATGCAATGATGTATAAATCATTTAAACCCTGTATTTCATTGAAAATGGTACAAAGACAACACATCAAATGTTGAAACTGAAGTTTTATTGTTTTTTGAAAAAATATAAGCCCATTTTGAATTTTATGGCAGCAACATGTTCCAAAAAAGTCCAAATTTTTATTTAAATATAGGGTTTACGTAATTTGTCATTCATTCTCATTGATTCATTATAATTGCATTCTTGTTTTTATTTACATTTTGCACAGCCTCCCAACTTTTTTGGAAGTGTGTGTGTGTGTGTGTGTGTGTGTGTGTGTGTGTACAGTGTTTAGTGTTTATGCTGGTTGAACTGCAGCTGAAACACAGCTGGTGTGTTTGGTGGTGTGACTAGTGTGGTAGAATTGAGGTGTAATCACTGCCCCATAGAACGCTGTAGGTGGCAAAGGGTTAGAGTACACATCACGTTGCTGTGCATGTTGGGGATTGTAGACCAGCTCATTGTGAAACAAGCTAATATTAATAGAAAACTAAATTAATCTTGATTACCTGATAGGGCCTTGTGTTTGACACATGGGGGAAAGAAAGATCCACAGCCAAGCTTGAGCACACTCGTTTAATCAGTCTGTCTTCAGACAGTTCCTGATCATTTTCTTATAGAACAATTGTCACCGATTTTAAGAAGCGAAAAATTTTGATAGGTGGTAATTTTGGCTTGTGAATCTCTATATGGTCCAAAATTAAACAGGCAGCAGTAGTTCTAGTATAACAGAGCTTTTGATTGCCAGTTGTTAAACATTGTCTCTTCTTAACTGTCTAATAAACTCAAAGTGCAGTAAGTTTATCAAATTAAATCACATTCTTAAATGTTTTGTTGTACATTTAATGCCGACTGATCTGTGGAAGCCGATCGACACGTCGCTCGATCACTAATTTCACCCTGCAGGTCTTTGGGGTCTCATGTTGTGTCTGTGTTTCCCAGAACTGACTGAGGAGGCCAAAGCAGATCTTCTGGAGTTTGAGGAGAAGGAGCGTCTGAGGAAGCAGGGACGCTACGGAGGGAGAGGAAGAGGGGGAGGCAGAGGAGGAGGAGGCATGATGGGAGGAAGAGGCAGAGGAGGAAGAGGAGGACTTCCTATGTTTGGGATGGGAGATTTCCATGGTGACGGAGGTGCTGGACGAGGGAGGATACACGAACAGAGGCCTCCTCTGATGCAAGTGAACTTGGGCATGCAGGTAAGAAAGACACTGGAGTAGTAAAAGGCGGTATTCTGGTTCCGGTATTCCGGGCGGAATTGAGCACAACAGCACAGTGGCTAGATTACATGGGAAAGTCAGGAATGTCAGTGAGTAGGGCTGAAAGATTAATCGTTTTTTATCGAATTCGCAATGTCACAGTTATAGCCTACACTCTTAAAGAGAGTTCAAGGTTCTTAATGGTTCTTTAGTAAAGCCAGTTATTCTAGATAGAACCATATACACTCAAAGACCCATTTGCATACTTAAATGGTTCTTTAGATTGATGGAGAATCTGCTTTATATGGTTCTGTATAGTACCAAGAAGGGTTCTGCTATTGTTAAGATGTCAAGCTTGTAACAGTAGAACATCATTTTGGTGCTGTATAGAACCCTTTCCAAAAAGGTGCCATATAGGTTCTTTGCATAGTGAAATCGTTCCTCAGATTGATGGAGAATGTGTTGTGTATGGTTCTATATAGCACAAAAAGGGTTGCAAGCTTGACATCGTAACACTAGCTGAACCCTTTTTGCCGTTATGTAGAACCATTTTCAAAAAGGTTCTATATAGAACCATGTAGAACACATTCTCCATAAATATAACGAACCGTTTCACCATGCAAAGAACTTTTTAAGCATGCAAATGGGCCGTTGAGTGTTTATGCGTCTACGTAGATCCATTGTCTTTACTAAAGAACCCGTGAAGAACCGTCTTTAATGTGTACGTTAGCAAAAACGTTTTCATTTGTAAGAGGGGAAATTGAACCTAGTAAGAGTTTGTGAACTGCCTGTAGATGAGTTAGACCAATCAGAGGCAAGCAGACCTCCATGTGTTGTGACATCACAACCACAGCTTACTGGCAGTTTGGCCATACGGGGGTCGAGCCTCAAGCCAGAAAAGGTGGATGTTCTGGTTTCCTTGGTCAAAATAAATCAGGCCTGAATCTCAATTTATTAAAATCGCAATTTAAATTTCAGTCGCAATATTAGTTGGAAAAATCGTAATTCGATATCTTCCCCAAATCGTTCAGCCCCATCAGTGTGTTTACTGAAAATGAGAATCTTTTGATATTTTTCAGTTTTTGATATAATTTGAAAATGCCTGTTGTTCTTTACATTGTGTGTAAATTTCATGAAGAATGGACAAAATGAAACGGCCCAAAATGACTTGGTGGGGAAAAAGTCTGGTTCCATTGACTTACATTAAAAGTAAAGTCGGTTTTTCCTTCTCCTGTAAAGTTACAATTTTGGATATATAATTTTTTATTTTTTTTTTCCGACAACCGCGATATGCAAATGCGTTGTTTTTTCATGACATCGCAGAAACAAGGAATTGAAAATGAGCTGTTTTGGCTCAGAACTAAACTGTATGTATCAAAACTTTTGAATAGTACATCAAACTCTTAATCCTAATGATGCTCCCTTGACTGAAAACCGAAATCTGACAAAAACAGTTTACATAAAATAAACTTATCACTGTTTCCGTCGCCGCTGCGAAATTATGACACTTCATAAAATTCAAAGTTGCACTTACAAAACTCTGCAGAGGGCTTTTAATTTGAAATAACAGTTATAGGAAGTGGACGAACGTTGTGCAAACAGTCAAAGAAGAGTTGAGCTGAACTGCCGAATGAGGCGGTCATCAGTTGGTCTGTTCAATTTAGTCAGATTTTTCACTGTTTATCTTTCGGCTTAAAAATGAAAGCACTGTTTTGGACCACGTCCCCCCAAAATGTATTGGGGCACACGTCTTAATCGTTGAATCCAGGTGTTTCGTTCAGTCTCATTGCCACAGGTGTATAAAATCAAGCCCCTAGCCATGCAGCCTGCCTTTACACACATTAGTAAGTGTGGCTCGTTCTAAAGAGCTCACTGAACTCGAGCGTGATGCTGTAATAGGATGCTGCCGCTGTAACCAGTTAGTTCGCGAAATTTCTTCCCTCCTAGATTTTCCTCGAACAGCTGTGAGTGTATTATTGGAAAGTAGAAGCGTTTAGGAACCACAGCAACTCAACCACGAAGTGTCAGACCACGCAAAGTTACAGAGCTCAGGGTTTCCATGGCTGAGCAGCTGCATGCAAGCCTTACATTACCAAGCACTACGCCAGGCATCAGGTAGGATGGAGTAAAGCGCCGCCACTCGACTCTGGAGCAGTGGAAACATGTTCTGTGGATGAATCAGCTTCTCTATCTGTCAGTCTGATGGACGAGTCTGGGTTTGGCGAATGCCAGCAGAACGTTACCTGCCTGACTGCACTGTGCCAGCTGTAAAGTTTGTGGGAACCGTTTGGGGAAGAACCTTTCCTGTTCCAGCATGACTGAGCCCCAGTGCACAAAGCAGCTCCATAAAGGCCTGACTGGGTGAGTTTGGCGTGGAAGAGCTTGACTGGCCCTCACAGAGCCCTGACCATCAATCACCTTTGGGATGAACTAGAACGGAGATTGTGAGCCAGGCCCTCTCATCCAACATCAGCGACCTGGATGAATGGGCAGAAATTCCCACAGACACTCTCCAACATGTGGAATCTGTTATATTAATGCCTATGGATTTAGAATGGGATTCATAAAAGCTCCAGGAGGTGAACTGTGTAGGTGTCCCAATACTTTTGTCCATATAAGTGTATATACTTCAACACTCACACCCAGGATGTTTATACGAGTATTAGAGTAGTCCATAGGTGCTCGCTCGTGCCCTCCTGTCCTTTCAGGTCGACGTGCTTTAGCGGAACGGACTCGGTTTGCTTTGGAGAAAGTCAATTACAGCAGCGCTCAGTCTCCCTCTTATCCGTGTTGATATATGGATTATGCCGAATAACTTGGCGGGAGTCCATTGAGGAGGCATTACCCCAAATTAAATTTGTACTTTGTCTAAGGATTTGGGCTCCTTTGCTTATTTTACTATTAAATATCTGTGGAAGGCTGTAATCCCCTCCTGTCTGCGCGCCTGTCTCTCACTCGTTCGCACCCTCACCTTTATTATTTATATAAAAAAGCTCTAATTCCTCCTTATGGAGGAGGTAAGCTATGTGACGCGCCGCCTCCGAGCGTGAGCGCTCTTTAAAGGTGAGGAGTGCAGCTCCGTAATGGTTTAATTTAATTGTTCGGCGTCGTGTGGAATGAAGTGCTCTGTCAGAGGAGGATTAGCTTGCGTGTCGGTGGAGGGGAGGATGGTATATGTTTAAATTGATGGGTTATGCAGATGTACGTTACATTACATTTCGCCTTTAAATGCTTTTCCAAGTCACTGGATTAAAGCCATTTTAGTTTTGAGGCTGCTTATCACATAAACCAAGCTTATAGCCTTAAACCAACTCCTTGTTTCTACACTCACTGTCCAGTTTATCAGCTCCACTGACCACATAGTTTCACTCTGTAGTTTCCATCTGTTTCTCTGCTTACTTAGTTACCCTGTTCTTCAGTGGTCAGGACCCCCATGGACCCTCACAGAGCAGGTACTATTTGGGTGGTGGATCATTCTCAGCACTGCAGTAACACTGACGTGGTGGTGGTGTGTTAGTGTGTGTTGTGCTGGTCTGAGTGGATCAGACACAGCAGTGCTGCTGGAGTTTTTAAACACCTCAGTGTCGCTGCTGGACTGAGAATAGTCCACCAACCACAAACGAGACCACAGCGGTGTGGGAGGGTCTCTTAAACTGAATCTCTGCTCTGATTGGATCTGCTGGATGGCATGTTTAATCCTCTGATTGGCCGACAAGCGATGACAGAAATAACAGCAAAGTTTGTAGAAAAAGTAGCAGCTGGACGTTGATGAGGGGCTGAAAGATCAACTGTTTTATATAAAAATTAAAAGGTTTCATTCGTCAAATTGCAGGAGCTGTAATTTATTTATGGTCTACATCATCAACGTTGTCTTAACTCTGTTTTCTCTCTCTCTCTTTCTCTTCTTTCTCTTTTCTTCTCTCTTTCTCTTCTTTCTCTTTTCTTCTCTCTTTCTCACCTTCTCTGTTGCTCTCTCTCCTCCCTTCCTTGCTCACTCTTTCTTTCTCTTCATTCTCTTCTCTCTTTTTCATTCCCCCTCTCTTTCTCTCTCTTCCTTTTTCTGTTTTTCTTTCCCTCTCTCTTTTTCTCACTCTTTTCTTTTTCTTTCCCTCTTTCTCGGTTTTTTCACCTTATCTAACTCTGTCACTCTCTCCCCTTTCTCGCTCACTCCTCTTTCTCTTCTTTCTTTTTTTTTCCTCTATCTCTCCTCTTTCTCATTCCCTTTCTTTCCCCCTCTCTCTCCTCTTTCTCTTTCTCTCTCCCTTTCGTTTTCTTTCTTTCTCTCTGTCTCTCACTCTGTTTCTCATTCCCTCTCTCTCTCTCTCGCTCTTTTCTTTTTCTTTATCTTTCACTTGCACTTTTTCACTCTCGCTCTCTCTCCTCTTTCATTCTCTCTTCTTTCTCTTTCTCTAACGCTGTCTCTGTCTCTTTCACTCTCTCGCTCTCTCTCCTTTCTTTCTCTCCCCTTCTCTCTCACTTTTTTCTTTCTTTCATTCTCTCATTCTCTCTCTCATTCCCTCTCTTTCTTTCTTTCTCCTCTTTTTCTTTAATTTTCTCTCTCTCTCTTTCTTCCTCATTCCCTCTCTCTCTCGCTCTTTCTTTCCCCATTCTCTTTCTCCTCCCTGTATCTCTTTCTTTCTTTCTCCTCTCTCTCTTTCTTTCTCCTCTCTCTCTTTTTCCTTCTCTCTCTCTCTTTCTCTCCCAGCCCAGAATGGCTCCTCCTCAGTCCCATCATCATCATCATCATCATCAGTCTCGGCCTCCAGGCCCCCGTGGAGCTCCGGGTCTTTTCCCAAACCCAATCAGCCCGCTTTCCCAGCAGCCCCTGCAGCTGCTGCTGCCTCATCGCTCCCCGGGACCCCCGCACAGGCCGCAGCAGGACCTGCACCGGCCGCCAGCCCCCACACACGCTCACCCTCACACCAACCAGCAGCAACAACAGCAGCAGCCCAAAAACATCCACATCAACCCGCACTTCAGAGGCCCGTCCTCCTCGCCGGTGCAAGGTACGCTCACCAACACGGCGGTGAACCGATCACACTCGGGGCTCGCACTATCGATTATACCATCAGATCTACAGGTTATTGTGACGATAAATTGAGTAATCAGAGTTTTATAAAAACCCCAAACAATGAAAATGAACTTTAAAATCGCTTTACATCGAAAACTTTTGTTGCATGTTGTGAGTTGGCTGCAACATGATTTCCGTGCAACTTGACAGTTACACAGAGCAATTAAAAAGAATCAAGTTGCACAACAGTTAACCAGATTAGCAGCAGATTTTGTAATACATCTTATCGTTCTCACTATAAAGTCATCTGCGATGTGTAATTTACATATTTGCAGCGTTTTTGTCTTTGTATGTTTATTTCAGCTGTTATTGCCTTTCTTTATTTTCATTATCTGTGTTTATCGTTTGTCTGTTTATCTAGGGCTGTTTACTATGTCATAAATATAACGATTACATTAGTTATGATTGTAATAGCCAACTTGATTCTTGGTCATTCTGTCCTAGAAGCACTGCAAGTTCAGCCAAGAGCGCATCTTCATCTTCTGTAATAATTTCTTTATTCGAATCCCAAATGAATCTAAATTCTCTGTTAAATTTAGGGGCATCAAGAGAGGAAAAAATAGTAATGTAGAGATACTGATTGTGTTAACAGCAGGCTGACTAGCTTGCTAGTTAATACAGCTGGTTACAGAAACGTTAGCTTGGACACATCACCGCTGACCAAAGAAAAACGTCTCTCCATTTATTTTGATTTTTAGTTTTCTGCATTTAAACATGGTGGCTGTACTTAACGTTGTATGTAAGTTTCATGATGAATGGACCAATAGGAATGCTCTAAAATTACTTGGAATAAAATATCTTCACATTGACTTGCATTAAAAATTGCTTTCTCCTGTAAAGTTACCATCTTGGAGATACTTGTTTTTCTTTGGACAGGGACGATATTCTTGTTTGTTGTCGTGACTCAGGAAACTAACTAAATGGAAAACGTCAAACCTCGAGTAATTAGTAGGGCAGTGTCTCCTTTTCAGCCGCTCAAGACACAATCTGTTATTTTATTTTCCTGTCCGCTGATTGGGTGAAATCGATGGTTAGAAAGTGTCATTTGTCTTCAAGTGAATCATTATTGACATTTTTGATTGGCCGTTTTATGAAACCTGTTCTGCAAAATTGATATGCTTGCAGCTGTTGCGGCTGAGTTTCAAGCGAGTTGCAGGACACTTTACATCATGCAACTCAAGTGCAATTTAGTTTCCAAGCAATTAAAGTTGCATTGAAGTTTCACAGTGTATAGTCAGCCTAAATAAACAATAAAACTGTTAAAACCTTTCAAAGAGCCCAAATTACTGTATTAGGAACCCAAAAACATGAAAGAATTAATTAAAAAACATAGAAAAAACTGTCGAACGATTAGAATAATCAATCATGATGAGTCGCATTTGTCTTTTTTGCTCAAATTTGACCCGAAATAGATTTTTCCTTTTAAAAAGCAGTGCGTTTGGTAACAACATTGAGGTGGATAAAATACGCTTCATCAGAATCTTTAATAATTCAGTAACATTATTTTCTTCATTTTTCACCATCCATGTTCAGTGAGAGCAGCAGCGGCTGCACGTTCCAGCTGTGTGTTTGTTATTATCAGATGTTTCTGCTCTGTGTCCGGCGCATTAACCCTAAACCAGCTTTCAGAAATCTGTGCGGTGAAGTGATGTGCAGGGAAATGAGACCTTTTGAGTTCAGGCTGAGATCTCATTATGAGCTTCAGTCTCTGGGCGAGAGAGGGAGAGTCTGAGCTCTGAGAATAAACCCTCGCTCGCTCGCTCGCTCTGACCAGCTGTGACGAATGGGGACTGAGTGTTTATGGTGTCAAACATTTTTGGTTTAAATAAAAGTCTCTCTCTCTCTCTCTCTCTCTCTCTCTCTCTCTCTCTCTCTCTCTCTCTCTCTCTCTCTCAGTTCCATTGATGCCTCCTGCTCAGAACCAGCCCAGGCCCAACATCGGCCCTCAGAGATTTCCTGTAAGTAAATATATTTAAATGTAAATGTCATTAGTTGCTGGTAAGTGTGTAACGATACACATACTTTCAGGTTCAATGCGATTTTCAGCTCAAGATAAAGATTTGATTCAATTTTCGATGCTTGATATTTATTCAAAGTTATAATTCTGCCGTTGTTTCCGTCAAACTCGATAGAAATGCTTTACGTAATGATATTTTTTCTGTGAAAACCTGTTGTTGCATAGCTTTTGGTTCATCATTTAAAAGAAGACTTCCCCACAACCTACTGAAGAGGACGTTCTATATGTTTTGTTTCATTTTCCATTGAAGCTGTTATGAGGGAGATCCTTTGTCTCAGTCTTATAGAGCTGTTCGCACTCATTCCACTTAGAAAGGCTGTAGTCTTTTCTGCTCATTTCTGTCTGTACACTGTAAAAATAATTGTGTTTTAACTTAAAGTGAGGCCTGGCTGCCTGAAAATTTAGTTCATTGAACTTCCAATAGTAAGTTAATAGAAAGATAATCTGTGTTTTTTTTTGGTTAATTTATTATTTGAAGTTCATTGAACTCAAAATTTTACGGCAGCCAGGTAACTCAATAAATGAAAATGTGAAAGTTTTCCCCACCCCACATTCACATTCGCATCCCTGTGTTTCCTCACCTGTCATTTTTTTGCTGGGGGCGGTCACTGTTTACACAGATTTGATGTCCAAACCCAGCTTAAATGCCAACCGTTTTGATGGAAACAAGGATATGACAATGTCTCAGATGTTTTGTTGATAAATTAAAGTGTTTTTATTACATAGATAGTAAAAGTTGCAAGCGTACAGAATACTGTGCTCTTACGCTACTCTATTCTCTCTCCAACTGTCGACTCCGACTGACCCAAAATCGGCTGACTTGAGCCGACCAGCACAGACTCGGCCTGAATGAGAATCGGGGGTTCAAGTTTGTAGTGTAATTGTGGCTTTACTCTCTCAGGATGCTCCCAAATCCCTAACTTTTGGTTATTGATGGATGTTTCGATATAAAATGGTAAATAAAAAGGAAAAAACTGTGCACCCCGCCCACTAAGGGTGTAACACTGTAGAAAAATTAAAAAATGAACGTATGTAAGAAAATGTAAATATGTATTGTCAGTCTTTTCTGAGCATCTCCCATTTTCCATCTGTCATGGAAACATACTTCAGTGAGCAAAATTTAGCCCCCTGTGTGCTACCTGTCAGAGTAAAGTGGGAGGGGAGGGGTGGGGCTTGTGCTAAGGACACACCCACGCTAAACTGACTTTGCATTTTTCCGAAGATCTTATAAATTCTGGACTTTTCCTAGAGGGCTTTTGTTCCCAGTGGGGTTTTCTGTTGGAAAACTTTCATGCATATGAGTCAAACCAATCTGTGTAGAGCAGAATTAAAGTAGAATGAAGACATTAACATAGAAAATATCAGAAGTAGAATCAAATCTTGATCTTAGAATAAAAAATCGAGTGTAAATGTGTCTGAAAATAGAATTTTTGTCACCCGCGAAACCCTGTGTTGTTTGTAATGGGCTGACTTTCCTCAAACCCGGAGCTTTAAAGGTGAAATTAATGCAGTCACTCAACGAGCAGCTCCTGAGAGCCGATTCTCTGCCCGTCAGGTCGGAAAACCGCCCCTGGACCCTGCTCCTCTCCAAACATTTTAATGTTAAAATTCAAATGGAAGCAGTGAAAATGGAAAACGGATGTAAATGGCCGTTTTAGCGCTCGGAAAAAGATTAATCGTAAGGGTGACACAGACGGCCCCATCGCGCAGCGGCCAATACTGTGGTTAAAGTGATTTATTCCACAGGAGGAAGACGGATGTGCTGGCTGTTATAAGTCACAGATCGTCTGCTTGCCTCACTCTCGCTCTCTTTCAAGCTCGTAGACGCGCTCTGGTGACAGAAGAACGCAGCGGTATTCGGTAATGAAACATCGTCTCCTAAAGAGAGCCGGATCTTTAAGAACCTGTCACTCCTGTTCCTCCCTAGAACGGTCAATTAAAGCGATAGAAATTTCGCCTTATCCCGAATGTAGTTGATCAGGCAAGACATGTTTGCTGTCTGAAGTTTTTCTTCTTTAGTTTTAACACAGAGACATTTGAGGTGGGGCTGAACGATTTGGAGAAAATGTCTGATTGTGACTTTTCTGTTATCTGATATTGTGATTAATTTAATTGTGGTTAATTCTTGCAATTTGAAAATTGCACTTAAAACGGTCTTAAATTGCGATTTCAATATAAAAAACGATTCATATTTCAGCCCTAAGTGGCAACAGTATTCGAGTAGTTCAGCATTTGAGATGTAAACAGAGAGATTCAGAGTGGTTTGGTGTGAAATGGTTCAGATGTCTTTACAGTGGTGGTGATAAGAACCAGGGGTCGCCATGACTACAACACAAATATAGACATTCTATTTACTATCCAGAACCACCAGTGAACCTACACGAGTCTTCTGAGTTTATATGGAATGTTGATGATGGAAAATTGGAAAATCTGATATAATAAGTTTTCTTTGGGGACTATTTTGCCTCACAGCGCCCTGCATGTATCCCTCCACCATGAATGGAGTTTAAGTTTTCTAAACCATCATAAAACAGTGTCTCAGTCATCAGGCAGTGAATTCATAACCATTTCATGTAGGAACTTTCTGTGAGGGAGCTTTTAGAGGTGGACGTCTGGTTCCTATCACCACCACTGTGAACAGTTCTGACTCCGTAAGTTTATCCAGAACAGAGCGTTTCACACCAAACCACTCTGAATGACTCTGTTTACATCTTACTCACTTAGTTATACAGATCATTTAATTATGATAGAGAATCTGGGGTGGATGGTTCTATGTAGAACCTTTTTTGAAAAGGGTTCTATATAGCACCCATTATGATTTCAATCTTGTGACAATAGAAAAACCCTTTTGGGTGCTATATAGAACCCTTTTGAAAAAGGTTCTGCATAGAACAGTCTGTAGCACATTCTCCATCAATCTGAAGAGCCCTTTCATGATGCAAAGAACCCTTTAATAATACAAAGGGTTCTTTAAGCATTCATGGTTCTGTACAGACCTCATTCGTTAGCATCATGCTAATAAAATGGACAGAAGTTCACATAATAGCTTCTAGTTCTGTTTTTAGCTGTGTGAACTATGTTGGTTTGTTTTTATAGATAAAAGCACCAGAATTGATTAGATTATTATTAGATTGATTATTAGAGGTCACTCAACGAGGCACGTGTGATGATTTAGGCCTGCTGATTCCAAGATGCCAACCCAGTGGCTATAAGCTTCCATTACTTAGCTCCATTGGCCTCGTAGCTCCAGTGTAAAACTAAAGAAGTAAACTTCAGACTCCAGTCGTGTCTCAGCTGACGGACTACAGTTTTGGCGTAAGGCGGTTAATTTTGGAGGAATTGTGTAACTTTCATTTTTAACTGTACTGCCTCTTTAACAGTGGTCCTCGGTGGTCTGGATGAGGCTTTGCTCTGCTCTCCTCTCTCACTAAGAGCTTTTGGCTTTCAGGAGGCTGTGCTGACGGTTTGGAGAGCTGTTTTCCCCACTAATCTGGTCAGGGAGGTGCTCACATACCCCCCCAGATAGACGAATTCCCCCAGCTGTCTGTCTCCCACACCCAGTCTGGCACAAACAGGACGTCATTTAAAATGCCAATGACTAGACAGCCAGCAACTTCTATTAGCCCTCTGGGTGCCTGATTAGCATACATTATCATACAGGGACATCTAACCTTACTGCAGGCTGGGCCTCTCTCTCTCTCTCTCTCTCTCTCTCTCTCTCTCTCTCTCTCTCTCTCTCTCTCTCTCTCTCTGCTGAATATTTACTACTCGTTTCTGAATGTTAATCATTGCCATGTATTTGATTGATACAGAGCTGTGTTGCTGTCTTACTGCAGAAAACCAACATATTGTGCAACCCGTGTTCCTGTAAACGGGTGACGAAGCTGGGATTAGATTGTTTGCGAGTTGCCGTCAGGTTTCAGTCACTCTCGGATATTTTCAGAGTTTGTTTTTGTGAACAGCGCTATGCAACAGGGTGTGTTTGTTGCGCTTGAAATGTTTCTTCATTTGTTTTTGCTCCCTGTTGTCGTTCTGTGCGCCAAAGTTTTATTCCAGAGTGATGAAACGAAAGGAGTCATCAAAATTAAACTTTTATTGTTGATTTTCCATGTTTGATGTGTGTTTGATTAAATATGTTCCTCAATCCGGTTTTAACACAAAAGGATTAAACTTTGAGGAGTTGCTGCCTCAGTAAACTGGGTGGCGCTGTGCTCCTTTTACTCTCTAGACAGGGAGGGAGAAGAAGTCTAGCCGTTCACTAGCAACAGCTTAAACCAGGAGGACAGATAACACAGTTAGCTAGGGTTTGGAGTGTTAAGGTGGAGGCCTCGCTGTAGATTTCTACCAACAATTTAAATGGGTGTGAAAATGTTGTGTTACGCTTTTTGTTGGGTTTATAAAATTTTTCCAAATTTATTTTGAATGCAAAATCATAATAGTGGGAGGAGGAGATGAAATATGATATTTTCCTCACTGCTGGTATATCAGGATATCAAAAATCAGAAGGCGTTTCAGAGGTGCGGCGGAAATCATTACATTGCATTTAAAGAATAATTCCATGGATTACTTTTATATATAGTTCCTGCGTAATTAAGATGTAAACGTCGTTCAGAGTGGTTTGGTGCGAAACGCTCTGTTCTAGATAAACTTACGGAGTCAGAATTGTTCACAGTGGTGGTGATAGGAACCAGGGGCTGGACTCTTTCTACGTGTGTGTTTTTCTTAACTTCATTCTTAAGAAAATGTTATTCTTCAGATAACGTCTTAAGAAATCTTACTTTTTCATAACTTTAACTTTGTGTTATTCTTGAAAACATTGTTCTTAAATGTTTTCTCAATCTTACGACAGACTCACACTCATCTTAAGCTGTAAGAGTCGAAAAGGTGAGCATCTAAATTGATCTGCTCCTGCCCATCCTCGACTCTGTCTTTCCACCGTCACTCCACAATTATCGTATTTTCCAAAGAGGATGTTTTTTCCCGTTGGCTGTTTCTTCCACCATCACCTCTAGATCTTGTTTGCTGAACAAAATGTTGGTTTGATGTTTTTTTCCCCATTTTGCAGCTCTGAGTGGATTAAACTAATAACGTATTTGACCGTTAATACAAATGTAAAATGTATCCCGCTTCATTTATGGTATGAGGTAAAATTCGAAGTAGCCTTCATAAGAAAACAGTGAAGATTCTCTTAAAATATTAAGGAACTAATTACGATTATCTTCAGAGAATATTTGGGAATATTTTAAAAGTGTTTTTCGAGAATTGCATTTAAGAACATTCTTATGAATTTCTCAGACCTTTTTTTAAGAAAGCTTTCGAGAATCCAGCCCCAGATGTCCACCTCTAAAAGCCCTTCACAGAAAGTTATTACGTGAAATAGTTATGAATTCACTGCCTGATGACTGAGACACTGCTTTATGATGGTTTTGAGAACTTAAACTCTATTTACGGTGGAGGGATACATGCAGGGCGCTGTGAGGCAAAATAGTACGTGTAGAAGACTCGTGTAGGTTCACTGGTGGTTCTGGATAGTAAATAAAATGTCTATATTTGTGTTGTAGTCATGGCGACCCCTGGTTCCTATCACCACCACTGTAAAGACATCTGAACCATTTCACACCAAACCACTCTGAATCTCCTGTTTAAAAGTTGTCTCGGGGGCGGAGCACAAATATGTTTTTCAGTACAAATATTATTCTGTGGTTGCGATCGTGTTTTGGTGTCGCGCCTCTTCGCGTTCCCGTTATTCCAGTTTTCCACTGTTTTATTCCGGTCGTGCTGAGCTCTTGTTCCAGATTGGCAGCTGCTTCCCAGCTTCTGGCATTTGTCTTTCTGGCCCTTTCCCTCTATCTCTCCAGCAGATCATAACCGGTTACATATTGACCAGAGGATTAGCTTCTCGCTAAAGGACACTCTCCTTTTTTTCCCTTTTATTTTATCGAGCGAATGCAAACTTGCGGAGGTATTGTGGACGTCCTTAAGCTCCCATTGTGCTGAGGGGGACTGACCTTTTGAGCGGAGCGCCGAAGTCGCTGCTAACAATGCCATTCCTCCCGTCGGATGCTTAGCTAATCCGGCTGATTGACTTTCCGCTAAGCAACTTGGTGGCCGCTCGCCGCCTCACCTTGCCTCCTGCCTGAAAACGCGGATTAGGAAGCTCGATCGCATCTTAAGTCATTGCTAATGAGCCGGGAGGAGGCGAGGGAGGCTGTGTGGTCCGGCGCGGCTGCTCTGAATGAAGGTTAATTTCTTAAGAGCGGACGGACGGCGCTTTAAAAGAATAAAAGAGGTGGTGATGAGGGGATTGGTATTCAGCAGGAGGATTAGAGGATCGTTATCTGGCTTTTCCTCTGGAAGGTGGAGGATAGATTCTGAGTTTTGGGAGTTGAGGGAGAGGTACCGAGGTGCTTAAACTCCTTCATAGTCACTTTTTCTCTTTTCCGTTTTACAAATATTATACAGTTAAGACTTTTGACCAACAATCAGCACGACCAAACGCTTGTTTCCATCTGGTTTCCCAAAAGCAGCTAAACCAGGGGTCGGCAACTCCTCTTTTACTGCCCTGTTTCGGCTCCACTGCTGAATTAGATTTGTAGGTAAAAATAAAATAATCCTCCTTTACGGTAAAATATTACTGTAAATAGCAACACAGGCAACAGCCTCGCCTAGCCAGCGAACGAAACGGCAAAGAGAGAGATTTAAGACGAACATCGATAATTTGGAGACGAATGGACTTATTTGCATTTATAATCACTCCAGCTGGTTTCCTGATATGTTTACTCTGCAATGAGAAACTTTCAAACAATAAAAAGTTGTGAGGCTGAAGTCAAATTCTCCCATTCCACCTTAAATGGTGCAGCAGTTACATTCTGACGCCTCAGGCACCATTTAAGGTGGAACAGGAACATTTGAACGAGAAGCTGGCGAATGAGAATCTGACCTCAGCGTCGTAAAAAGTCGAACGTTGAGAGATATTTTACAAGAAACTGTTGTACTTTTGTGGAAATGTTTCCTGCTGGAGATGCGAGAAAAGTGGCTATAGCTGAGCTAAAGCTTAAAGCAGAGCAAAGTCAGTCTGCATTTTGTTTTTTTGTTTTTTTTTTTATACTGGTACATTACATACTTACATACTGAGCCATATTTACAGCCAAGATGGTAAAACTTCAATAAAATGTTGAGGCTCCCAAGATGGTTTGATTTTTGTTGAAAGGACAAAATGGCACTTCTTAACATTTTCAGTTGCCGACTCCTGAGCTATGTAGAGTACTGTAGACGTTACCATGACAACGAGCATCACGTGAGTCCAGTCAGAGTGAGATGAGCAGCAGTGAGCAGCGCTTGTGTTTTTAACTGCTTTAAAATGATGTCGGACTCAGGAAAACGTCCTTCACATGTCCTTATTAAAGAAGGCCGAGAGGAAGACGTCGTGTTCTGAGACACATAAGCTGGACGTCCGTCCCACCGCCGTCTTTTAAAGATCAGAGCATAAACTTCGTCTCCTCTGCAGACCAGTTTCTGCTCCGCCATGTTGAACGGTATAAACTCTCACTGTGACGTGACGAACATGATCAGAACGGACTTAAACTTTCTGATAGGGAATGTAATCAGATACAGGCGTTTACACGGATATTATTCTTCTATTTAACAGATTATTTACAGGATTACCCACCTCGATCAGTCGGATAGAAACTGTATTCCGAATGGCCTCGATCGGACTGGACTATTCTGACTGAGGTGTTTACATGGACGTATTCTATTCCAATTGAGCTATTAGTCGGATTATTAATGGATTATCAGGCTGCATGTAAACGTGGTTATTGGCTATTATATGTTTATAAGCAGGAGAAATAGGCAAGTAATTTTTGCGTCAGGCATAAAACGATGCTTGGACGTAATGCAGTGCAGTATTTTAAGCAAGTCATTCAGTTCATAGTTTTATTTTATACTGCTGGGGCTTTTGTTTGTTTCATCTTATCAAACTTCAGAAAAACTAAATATCATGATTCATATCATCTACGATGTGAATGTCATTTTTTTGCCATAGCGCTTAAATACAGTTCCCTGATCTGTGAGGTATTGTTTTCAATATTCTCTTCATCACGTCTCTCTTCAGGCTCCTGTGGACTTCCAGCAGCATCTCCAAGGCAATTTTGTCCAGCCCCAGAGACCCCCTCCCCAGGAGCCGTGGAGAGGACCCCCACCCCCCCACCAGGAGAGAGAGCCTTTCTTTAACAACGGTGAGACCAGCCTTCAGGGAACCCGTCAACTTAGTGCCGTTGCTGGGTCTAAATGTCAGCCTGAGCTGTAGATTATGATCTTCAGTCACCTGTCAGAGTTTCAGACTCAGAGTCTGGAACGACCACACAGTGAATTACCAAACTGAAGGAGCAGTTCAACCAAATATCAAACTCTCACAGTATTTTTCCACTTTTTCCTCAATGTAGTCCGTCAGTTAAGACACGCCTGGTATCTGAAGCTTGCTTTCAGGCATGTGTGGTGATTTAGGCTTGATACCAGCTGGTGGGGAAACTTCTATTCCTTGTTAGTTACATTAGCCTTGTAGCTTCAGTGCAAAACTAAAGAGGCGAACAAAAATATCTTGGCTGTTTGATTTAATTTGGGCTGTTAAATTGTTTTATTCACCTTACCACTCTTTAGTTTCCCTCTGAATAGACCACACCCTTATTTTTCATGTCAGTGCTGATAATTTCGAGATTATGGCTGAAATATTTTCAGTTGTGGAGTGGACGTGTGGTTCATTACTGTTTCAGCTCAGTCAAGGATAATGTTATTAATAGGGCTGGACAAATAGACAACATATAATTGCATGCATATAGAAATTGTCACAGTGCGGTGTTTTTCTGAATATATTGAGGCTGTTGTCAGTACTTGTAGACACTGACTGGCCTGTTTCATTACAAAGAGAGCAAAATTAATCCCCTTTAACTGAATTTAGTGCCAAATGTTGAACAAAAATTGTGTTTAGTTTTTGATAGTATATTTTAAAATGTAGGAGCACTTTTTTCTCCGTTCTAACTTCTTAGATGTCTGAAATAATAAATATTGTGACATATTGTTTCACAATTTATTTTTTTGCCATATTGCCCACCTTCTACATTTTATGACCCATTAAATGAAGCATTTCTGAGACAAAGTGCAGTTCATAGCTGCCATTACAGCCGAGTGAGACTTAAAGTACGACAAGAACAGCAAGTCTAAATGTTTTAAAAATCATATGAATGTGGCTTCATAGTCACTGCCTGAAAAGCAGCTGTGAGGCCTCCCTACGATTAGATTCTTCAGAAGACGATTCAATGCAAATTTTGCCCCAATTTGATCATATTTTTATACTTGGTAATGATTCAGAATTAAATATAATAAACTGAACACACAAATGTGACAGACCTATTTGCATAGTTATGTAGACCTTAATATACCTTTAATATAAAAAGAATAAACAATAAAAATATTATATACACAATAATAGTACATCCAGTATTACATTGTTAGATATGTACATATTCAAAAATTGATAATACAGTAAAACCAACAGAAAACATTATCTACAATGAAAAATGAGCACATGCTTTCTTTTATTATTATTATTATTATTATTATTATTACAGCCCTCGTGGTAGTCGTCATCATCACCATCGTCATTCTTGTTTTTTCTCCAGAACCACGCTTCCCTGGCCAGCACATCTTCGATCTCCCAGGTCCGGCCCCCCTCATGAACAATAATGTCCTTCCTCTTGCGGGTCAGGGCCCCATGTCGTTTCCCCAACCAGGGGGTCCAGGAGGTGTGGGTGGGGCTCCGGGCCCTGGGCCGGGCTTTGGGCCCCTTGGCATCGGCCAGGGTCAGGGGCCTCCAGGGCCCGGAGGAATGTTCCAGAGGGAGCCGCCACGCCCCAACCTGCAGCATGCCAGCCCTCCGGCGCCCCCCGGACCCCGTGGCTTCCTGGGTCACAGGCAGCCTTTCCCTCCCCAACAGCCAGGGCCCCCCTTCAGCCCCCAGCATATGCCGTTTGGGATGCAGGTACGCCAGAGAGTAAGTCCCTTCGCAGAGAATCCGCACGGAGTGTTTTTACGTTGATGCTTTTAATTTTTATGAATTTAAAGCGAAAAATATGAAAAAAACTTTCAACCTTAATCCAAATGTGATCGATCAGCTGAGACATGGTGTCTGAAGTTTGCCTCTTTAAGGCTAATTTATAGTCCGGGTGACAAGCGTCATTCGACAAAAAATGACATGAAAGAGACTAAATGTGTGTCTGCTGGGGTTTCGCAGACCTCGTTACGCAAATCAAAAAATCTGAAAGGGTGCAAACGTCGCACACTCTGATTGGATATAATTTCAAAGTTCTTTGTTCTACCGTTTGGCGCGGTCACTGTGTGCGGCTGTGTTTACTTTCTCACAGCTCAACTGCTTTCAGAAACGGAACGGTTTGCCAGCTGTTCAGAACCAGGACCAATAAACATTTATAAGACGATTTGTTTTTCATTTATAAGACGATCCAAGCAGAAAAGGCACCAGTGACAGTGTCGTAGAACCTCTTAAGACTAAAGTTAAGAAAAAGAATGAAAGAAAGAAGAAAGAAAATTTTCTTTGAGACACTTTTGTGAATCCGGCCCCTGAAGACTGGAAAAATATTGTGTATTGCAAAATTATATTTTTGCCATGTTGCCCATCTCTACGTTTTATGACCATTAAATGTCTTCGAAGCGTTTCTGAGACGACGTGTGGTTCGCTGCTGCCCTTAAAGCTGAGTGAAACTTAAAGTATGACAAGAACAGCGATCCTAGAAGTACAAACGTCTCGATAAAGACCTGAACGTGGCTTCGTAAAAGCCCAGTTGTTATTGTTGAAATATGAGCTCATTAAACATAGTTTTTACATAGTAAATAAAAAATTTATTTTATTAAATTGTATTTTATTAAAGCAGGTTCAGGCTTTTGTTGTCGGATCGATTACAAACATTGACACTCAAACATTCCAGCGTACAATAAACCCATATATATTTTTATTTATTCCCACATTTCTATCATGTTAGGACGTCGTTAGCTTTTACGACGTTTACGTTTCGGCAGTATTTCTGTCCGTACGTCACTCAGAGCATCGTGGGGTGCCGGAGTAAGGTGGGTGGGTCGGAGCTGAATCCTCCGCCGTTTCAGAAATGAAGTCAGTGGTTTTGTAGGTCATGTGAGTGATTTTACCGAAGCGTCCGGCTCCGCGAGTTAAATATCACGCTCTGATTGTAGGTTTTCAGAAGGGGTCTTGTGTAAACGTGTCTGAAGCAGCGGTGGTCCTGGCGCCCCCTCCTCAAACTGAAAACAAACCTCAGCCAACACTGCCCTCCAGTGTTCACCTGGTGTTCGTGTGTGTCTCTGGTTTGAGGTCACCGGATTAGTTTGGACACAGATTTAAAGATTGTGGTTATTTTTAATGGAGTTCAACTGTGTTTTTGAAGTTCTGCTCTGGTTCCAGCTGAAGCTGCTCCACTCTTGGGGTTAAACTGTTAAATTACTGCGCTTTGAAGTTGAGCGTAAATGTTTATTTTCAGGCTGTCTAACAATGAAAATAATTAAACTGCATTATTTTGGGTCAAATTTGTCTCCTTTGCTGAAATCCGACCCTAAAGAAATGTTTTGTTCTGCTTAAAATAAAAAACTGTGCATTTTTGCTTTAGCTACACACTTAAAGATGATCTTCAGTGATTCTTTAGTAAAGAAAATGGTTCTATATAGATCCGTGAACATTCAAAGAACCTTTTCCATGGTTAAATGGTTCTTTGCATCGTGAAAAAGAGAAAAAATATTTGTTACGATGTCAGGTATGTTACAATAGAAGAACCCTTTTTGGTGTTAAATAGAACCGTTTTCAAAAAAGTTCTATATAGAACCATCTGTAGCACGTTCCATTTCACCATGCAAAGATCCCGGTAACCATCCAAAGGGTTCTTTGAGTGCTCATGGTTCTGTATAGAACCTTTTCGAAAAGGATTCTGTGTAGCACCAAAAAGGGTTCTTCTCTTGTTACTGTGTCAGGCTTGTAACAATAGAAGAACCCTTTTTTGTGCTATATAGAACCCTGTTCAAAAGGGTTCTATATAGAACCATCTACAGCACTTTCTCAGTCAATCTGGAAAACTCTTTCACGATGCAAAGAACGCTTTAATAATGGGAAGGGTTCTTTAAGTGGTTTTTTAGTTTTATTTATTTATAGATTTTTTAGATTTATTGATTCCAGAAACTAAAAGTGCCACTTTCAGCTGTTTTCACGTTATCGGTGGCCTAAATTTTGATGCTTCCCTAGTTAGATTTTTATTATTATTATTATTATTATTATTCTTTCTTTTCTTTATTCGCCTTGATCTGTTATCCAAAAACGCCAGTCCTGCCACCCATTTCAGAACCATTTTTTTTATCGTGTCTTCATCTTAGCCTCTCGATTTCACATCGTTGGAATCCCCAGCGCCTCTTGAGGACCATTTCAGTACTGAATTAGCACAAATAATTTCTTAAAGAGCTTAAAAACATAATATTTCAAACCATAAAATTGGATTTGCTGGGCTTTGGGTTGAAAACTGCTTCATCTCTTATGCACGACAGCTGAAACAACTTCAGCGCTTCACTCTGCTTGCTGGCTAGCCAGCATGCTAAAGGCTACAAGGCTCCCAACAACAGAAAGAAACTCATTACATTTATAGCCAATTATTCACAAATGATGTGTGTGTGATGTTCAGACATATCAAAGAAATGTTTTGCATTGCAGAGTTTGCATGGCTGGTCGATTAGCTCGCTGAAGCTGACCTAACCAAAGGCGCGAACGACGGTTGTGGTGAATCAAAGTGGACGAGGACACGTTAAATAAAGTATTGAAATGGGGTTTGACTTTATTTGCCCTCCTGTCAGTGAGTTGCCGTGTGAGCTGTGGTGTGACAGCCGTGGGAAACGTAGGGGACGAAATGTCTCGCTGTTCACGCTGATGAACACGATAAGCTTGTAGGTCTGATTCCTTCCCTCCTTTTTTAATGGTTTGCATGTTTTTGTGATCTCCAGGGTCTCATGCAGCCTCACTCTCAGCCCCAGCACCACGATTTGCCTTCCCATCATCCTTTACACCAGCAGCAGCACAGACAGGACGTCCAGTCGCACGGTCACCCACAGCCGCAGCCTCCACCGCCACATAACCAACACCAACACCAGCAGCATCAGCAGCACCACCAGCGCCAACCCGGAGAGCAGCATCCCATCATGCACCTCTCCCACTCGCCTTTCCGCCAGCCCCTGCAGGGCGGCCCCAGGCAGATGCAGCAGCGCAGCCAGAACGGCCAGCAGCGCAACAACCCGGGACGAATGAGGATGGTGAGGCACTTCAGTTCTGCACTAAGAGCAGAGAATTGTGGGATTTGGAGTTTTTGTGATGCCAGTGTGTCAAATTCGCTTTCTCCTCATTCCTATGCAGGGAGCATGCCAACCAGTCAGCGCTCAGTGGCAGCAATGCCAACCAGTCAGCACTCAGTAGCAGCAATGCCAACCAGTCAGCGCTCAGTAACAGCAATGCTAGCCAGTCAGCGCTCAGTGGCAGTAATGCCAACAATTCAGCGCTCAGTAGCAGCAATGCTAGCCAGTCAGCGCTCAGTGGCAGTAATGCCAACCAGGCAGCGCTCAGTAGCAGCAATGCTAGCCAGTCAGCGCTCAGTGGCAGTAATGCCAACCAGTCAGCGCTCAGTAGCAGCAATGCTAGCCAGTCAGCGCTCAGTAGCAGCAGTGCCAACCAGTCAGCGCTCAGTGGCAGTAATGCCAACCAGTCAGCGCTCAGTAACATTAATGCCAGCCAGTCAACGCTCAGTGGCAGTAATGCCAGCCAGTCAGCGCTCAGTAGCAGCAATGCTAGCCAGTCAGCGCTCAGTGGCAGTAATGCCAACCAGTCAGCGCTCAGTAGCAGCAATGCTAGCCAGTCAGCGCTCAGTAGCAGCAATGCTAGCCAGTCAGCGCTCAGTAACGGTAATGCCAAACAGTCAGCGCTCAGTAACATTAATGCCAGCCAGTCAGCGCTCAGTAGCGGTAATGCCAGCCAGTCAGCGCTCTTTAGCAGTAATGTTAGCCTTTTTTTATTATATGTTTTAATACATTCTTCTATTTTCCAAAATTAAAGGATTTTCCCGCTTAAATGGCCAGAATGTTCAATTTCTCATTTTTAATCATTTCTTCGCTTTCACCGCATTCATTGAGGATTTGCTCGCTGGCGCCCTCTAGCGTTTTACAGACATTATTTGGCATAATGGATTTTTTTGGTAGAAATAGGAAAGTGTGCAGGCTCCCCGTAAACTGGCTCTGGTATGGTGATCTGCATTACTGATACAGATAAAGATTCTAATTCGTTCTCCTCTCCTCCTCCTGTGTCTGCAGGCGTCTCCCTCTTCCCTGCAGCAGCTTCAGAGTCCCCAGCGCAACAGCAACCTCCGTGAACTGCCTATCGCCCCCAGCAACAACACTGTCCGCCCCTCTGCGCCCGCCGGCCAGGCCAGGCTCGTAACCAGAGCAACCCAGGAAGTAAAACCCGGGCAAGGACTAGCAGCCGGAGCTGTAGGACGTGGGCGGGGGTGCATTGCTAAAGCAGCACCAACGCCTTCGACACCTTCAGAGACTAAGAAAGAAAGCCCACCCACTCAGCCCAGCACACCTGCACAGGTAACCTAGTCGATTACAAATGCACAGGCAAACTAGCCAAATGCACCTACATAGGTAAGGTAGCCAGACATACTTGCTGTGGAAAACAGACCATACCTGCATAAGTAAGCCAGCCAAGCACACCTGCACAAATAAACCACTTAAACACACCTGAACAGGTCAACTAGTCAAATACAGATGCACAGGCAAACTAAGCGAATACACCTGCACAGGTAAACTAGTCAAAGACAGATGCACAGACAAACTGTCTGAATACACCTGCACAAGTACAGTAGCCAAATACACCTGCACAGGTAAACTAACCAGATATACCTGCTGAAAAGTACTGTAAAGTAGCTCAATACATTTGAACAGGTAAACTAGTCAAATGCACCTGCCCAGGTAGAGTAGCCGACCACACCTGCACAGGTAAAGTAGCCGACCACACCTGCACAGGTATAGTAGCCGAATACACCTACACAGGTAAAGTAGCCGACCACACCTGCACAGGTAAAGTAGCCGAATACACCTGCACAGGTAAAGTAACCGAATACACCTGCACAGGTAAAGTAGCCGAAAACATTTGCACAAGTAAACTAGTCAAATACACCTGCCCAGGTAAAGTAGCCGAATACACCTGCACAGGTAAAGTAGCCGAATACATTTGCACAAGTAAACTAGTCAAATACACCTGCCCAGGTAAAGTAGCCGAATACACCTGCACAGGTAAAGTAGCCGAATACATTTGCACAAGTAAACTAGTCAAATACACCTGCCCAGGTAAAGTAGCCGAATACACCTGCACAGGTAAAGTAGCCGAATACATTTGCACAAGTAAACTAGTCAAATACACCTGCCCAGGTAAAGTAGCCGAATACACCTGCACAGGTAAAGTAGCCGAATACATTTGCACAAGTAAACTAGTCAAATACACCTGCCCAGGTAAAGTAGCCGAATACACTTGCACTGGCAAATTTGCTGAATACACTTGCACAGGTAAAATGGCCAAATACACCTGCACAGGTAAAGTAGTCAAATATAGATACACAGGCAAACTAGCTGAATACACCTACACGGGTAAAGAAGCTAAACACACTTGTGCAGGTAAACTAGTCAAATACGGATGTACAGGCAAACTAGCCGAATACACCTGCACAGGTAAAATGGCCAAATACACTTGCGCAGGTAAACTAGTCAAATACAGATGCAGAAGTAAACTAGCTGAATACACCTGCACAGGTAAAGTAGCCTAACATACCTGCATATGGAAACCCCCCCCCAGCCATCCCTGCACAGGTAAACCAGCCAAACACTTCTGCATGAACTGTCTAAATACATCTGCATAGAAAAACCACCCAAACACACAGACGCAGGTCAACCAGTCAGATGTACCTGCGCAGGTTCAGTGCTGAGTCAGCTAAAATTAACCAGTGTAATTTGAGCTACAGCGTTTAGTCATCAGTGTCAGTTTGGCAAAATCTTAAAACATTTATTTGGCATGTTAACGTTCAGGATCCGGATGAGGACGAGGAGACCCGTCAGTATCGGCTGAAGATCGAGGAGCAGAAGCGACTGAGGGAGGAGATCCTGAAGAGGAAGGAGATGCGTAGACAGATGCAGGCGGGAGTTCGGAAGAAGGAGCTTCTGGAGCGAATTGGGAGCCTGAATCCAACTCAGTCAGCCCCAGCACAGCTGGTCTCTCAGCCCCAGCCTGCCCCTCAGCCCGCACAGCCGGTCCCCTCCTCTCTCGCCCCAAACGGAGCACCGCAGGCGCCCAGCCTTCCCCGCGGAAACGTTAAAACACGCCTGCAGAGCGCCAGCCTCGAGCCTCACGGCGTCCAGCCTGAGCCCATCCCGCAGCTCCAGCAGCAGAGGAAACCTCCCACCAACCCTCAGAGACAGGTACTCCACCTGTGAACAGCGGCGTTGAATGTTCGCACTTCAATATCTCAACTACAAAATATTAGTAGATATTAATGAGTATAGATGTCTGGCTTTGATGATTCAGTTCAGTTACTAATGTAGAAAATGATTTAGTGCGTAATTAAATTTTATTAAAGCTTGTTTATGGTTTGCTTGACAGTTATTTAAACAAAAAGCACACTGGATACAAAAAAAATACACAAGCTTTTATTTTGGAATTTGTATGTTTGAAGTTGGCCAAACAATTAATACAATATTTTATTGAAAAAAATTATAGTTGGTTATAATTGATTAACATTTTAATTTAATGTTGCTGAAATGTTGTTCAGATCATACGTAATCAGATCATCATAACGCATTGGATGCATTTTATCACCCCTGACAGTGAGTGGGTTATAATATAACAGACACATATTACATGTTAATACTGGGTTAAATTCACTGTACAGTTATCACTGTCAGACTTTAATACTACACACTGCAGATTCATACTGGATAAAAATAAATTCACTTATTAATGTTGTACTAATGAAAACTATGCACATTGCAGATTCATGCTGGATTAAAATTGCACTACAGTATTTACTTTCAGAACATAAACACACACTGCTGATTCATACTGGATAAAAATAAATTTACTTATTAATGTACTGCAAAAACTAGATTCATTGTGCATTCATACTGGATTAAAATGAAACTTGATTGATCTGTCATTGTATAAACTACAAACACTACAGATTCATATGGAGTAAAAGTCAATTTGAAATTTTATTGTAAAATCTTAAAATTTACATTCTGCAGATTCATACTGGATAAAAATAAATCCAGTTATTGATGTTCTGCTAATAAAAACTACACACATTGCAGATTCATACTGGACTAAAATTACACTAGTTTTTACCGTCAGACCTTAAAATTTGCACACACTGCAGATTCATACTGGATAAAAATAAATTCAGGTATTGATCTTGTACTGTAAAAACTAGACACATTGTGGATTCATACTGGATTAAAATCAGTTATTACTGTCAGACTGTGAACTACACACTTCAGATTCATACGGAGTTAAAATCAATTTGTAATTTTTGTTAAAATCTTAAATCTACACACTTCAGATTCATACTGGATAAAATTAATTTCACAATTATTACTGTTGTGCTGTTAAAACAACACACTGCAGATTCATATTGGATTAAAATCACTCCACAGTTATTACTGTTGGACTGAAAAACCACACACAGATTCATAATTCATATTAAAACTTTGTTAATTACAGATATATCAGCTCTGATAAGACTAACTATGAGGACGGATATCCATATGTTTGAATAACCATGTGCTGCTTTAATTCAGTTCCCAAACCCCACTGGAGACGTCCAGCCGCAGGCTGTCAGGCCCGGAGGGAAGAGGACCGTGATGCAGCGGGCGAACAGCGTCGGGTCTCCGCAGATTCCACAGAAAGTGAGAGTGGTCAAACGCCTGACTGGGGTGAGTGCGCACTGGACATCCATTAGGACGGATTAAAAAAAATCACATATAACCCTTAAAATGTGGTCGATGTGCTCTATGAAGTCGACTTCCTCAGTTTTAGCTCTAACAAGTGAGCGTTCAAATGTAGTATCACATCACATCACATCACAAGGCCTTCAGGACACCTATACTGGAAACGTCATGTAAACAAACCACAAACCAAACCAGAAAACAGCTGCTTTAATGACGGAGCTGTGCAGCTGTGGCTGCTAATGAATCAAAGCCGTTGTAAAATCCACGATATACCACTCCTATGACCGCCTCACTGCAATTGAACTCTGTATCACTGCGCCACGGCGCGAAAAACCCTTCTGCTGTTAATGGAATAATCTTTGATTCTCATGCTGCTCACATGGAGCACCGAGTCTACTGATGAAGCAAGAACCCGTTTTTTGTTTAAACTGAGGGGCTAAAAACTTATGTTCTTACCTAGAACTAGGCTGGTCAGCCAGCTAACAGGCTAAAACAGCCAGTAGGCTAAACAACATCATTGATATCACAGACTTGAATTAAAGTATTTACGATATGATTCACTGTAAAACGGCAGAATAAAAGTCTAAAAATGACGCTCGAATGTTTTACACACTTCAAATGTCCGTGTTTCAGTCAGAAGTCGCTTCAAACCCAAACTGAATCCCAAACGGCTCCGTACTCCCTAAATAGTGTTCTAGCTATGGAAGTTTAGAAATTCTAGCCTCTACAGCCAAACAGTGCATCATTTATGGAGTGTGGATGTGTCTGAGTCCCAAATGAGGACTTCTCAGTTGTATTTTGCTCTGTTGGGCTGCAGGATCCAGTGTTTAAACTCCTATGTAGTGCACTATGTAGGGCGGAGGGAGCCGTTTGAGATTCAGCCCCAGCGTGAGAAGAGGGCGCCGCTGGACTGGTGCTAAATAAGACTCACAGTGTTAACTTAGTGACTGGGAAGTAAACATACACACACAGCTGAAACATAAACGTAATCAAAAGTTAGTTAGTCAGACAGCTGCAGTTACTGATGAAATAAAGGTCATACAAAACTGTTTGATAAACTAAGGTGTGAATACCATGAGAGCACCCCCTGCTGTTTATCAGAGCGTTACCGCTCCGCAGTTTCAGTCTCCATTTCCCAAACGCTTTAGCCGAGCGCGCTAACGTTACTCCTCCTAATAAACAGACACACGTTCAGCTCCGTCTCCTCATTATTCACCACCATCACTGTAATATTTCATCATCAACATTAACACACGAAGGTGATCAGAGGGGCGGTGGAGATCGAGTCTGCAGCGTCTGAGATCTTTAAAACGCAGAGTTAGAAAAGAAAATCATCTCACAGTGAAAGCAGCGTTTTACAGTAGAAATAAATGGAGCTCATTATGCTGGTAGTGAACTATGCTGCAGACACAGCTGCCTAAAAACCATAGAAACGGACCTTAAACAGAAGTGAGGACCCTGTTGGGGTTCATCCTAAAGTTAGGACAGGATTTAGGAGGTTCAGTCCAGTTAGGATGTTTGTGTGATGCTGTTTTCTTATCTGGAGTTCATGATGAGATTATGAAGTCAGGAACTGCAATTCTGGAATAGCTACTGAAGTCGTCATGGAGGCCAAACAGATCAGATTTCAGACTTAAGACGTGTCTGTAGTTTCCTGGTTCCTATCACCCCCGCTGTGAAAAGGTTCTAGAGTGAGAGTTCCAGACCAAACCACTCTGAAAGACTCCATGTTAACCATTATCAATGCAGAAATATTAAATTTTTTTGACTTCTCTCTTAAAGTTCACACGTTGTTCTAGCAGAGCATCACAGTCTCTGTGGGAAAAGGCAGAGCGTTTTCAAATTACTCTTAAAAGTCACCGAAGTGCCAGAGCTTCGGGAAGTTAAGAGTGACACTTAAAGCCGACGTCTCTTTCTGACCGAATTGATCCGTAAACCGTCTCCGTTATGATGCTTCTGCTGCGACGACAGGCCGCGCTTTGCCTTTCAGGCGCCGAAATGGCACTCGCTTCTTTACGCCATTAAAGTGAGCCGTTTGGCATTTGCGGTTAACGTTGAGTGACGAGAGCCGCGAGCGCCGTAAAGGGTTTGTGTCTTCTTTAAGTCAGGCTATTCCATCAGGACCCTCGGCGCCCTGGAGGAGTTTATCTCTGCCGCTGGAATTGACCGCTTCACGGACGTGACGGGCGCTCGCGTCCGGCCTTAATAGATTTCTTAACCATGAAAAGGAGATGATTCGGGGGCTTTTTAAGAGATGTTTTCCTGTCTCGAAAGCAGCCAATCCATCCTCTCCGCCCTCAAAGGCGGATTAGAATCTCTGGTTGCGATGAAGATAACTGTGTCAGGTGCGCTAATAGAAACCTGCGCTGAGATACGTGAGGTGCCTCGCGCTGGGGAGACAGGGAGAGAGGCAGATCCTCTAGATGGTACCCGGAGACATTCTACTGCTGTCATGCTCAACAGCTTGACAATGTTATCTTTTCTTCCCCTTCTTTCGCTCTCTCTCCCCCTCTCTTTCTTTTACCGCTCTCTCTCTCTATCCAGCCGCCTGTCACTAAGGTGCGTTAGAATAGCCGTCAATCTCGGGACAAGCGCAATTAATCTTCTTCGTCTGCGTGGGTATCAGTGTAATAATACCTGGCGAGAGCGGCGGAGATGGCAGTTTGGACGGATTTAGATTTTCTTCTTCTTTTTATTTATTTTCCTCCTCTTCTCTAAGCTCAGCTCTACCGATAAGAGCAAATTAAATTTTCATCAGGCTGCACAATAGCAGGAGGATGGGGGAGGGGAGGCTGCCAACCCCCTCAACCCCCATACGCCCCGGAATAATGCAGCTTAGCAGCCAACACGGGTAATAAGATGCTCCGGATTTTCTATTCAGCTGCATTAATCTATCACCCCGTCAGCTCCAAGCAGAAAGATGCACCTGCTACTGCTGTATTACGGGCTGATGGAGGGGAGTCGATAACGGTGATTTTGGAGAAGGTTTAAGTCATAATTAATAAAAGACTTCAGTAATTCAGGCAGAGCTCGTTCCAGGGCATCGCCTCATTAGGTTAGATTAATATATTTTTGTGAGGTTGTTTTATATTATTTCCACCAAATTTATCTTGAGATTTACCAATTCTGTCTGTATCGCTGTGACAGAAGTGAATGTCGGCTTTGCAGTCTCTAAAAAAAGCTGCTGTACAGCTGTGAAATAGCAGATGTTTTAGCACTAAAAGGTATAATTAAATTGTAATATAAATTATTTTGTTTTACAAAAAATATGTGAAATATGTTAAACAAGCTGTTTTGTATTAGTGTTTTATCTATTTGTGCTAATACCAGTACATCCATTATAAGTACACCCACCTTGTGCTTCCACTCACTGGCCACTTTATTAGAAACACCCATCTTGTGCTTCCGATAACTGACCACTTTATTAGAAACACCCATCTTGTGCTTCCGATAACTGACCACTTTATCAGAAACACCCACCTTGTGCTTCCGCTAACTGGCCACTTTATTAAAAACACGCACCTAACTGGCCACTTTATCAGAAACACCCACCTTGTGCTTCCACTAACTGGCCACTTTATTAGAAACACACACCTAACTGGCCACTTTATTAGAAACACCCACCTTGTGTTTCCGCTAACTGGACACTTTATCAGAAACACCCACCTTGTGCTTCCACTAACTGGCCACTTTATTAGAAAGACCCACCTAGCTGGCCACTTTATTAGAAACACCCACCTTGTGTTTCCGCTAACTGGCCACTTTATCAGAAACAGCCACTTTGTGCTTCCACTCACTGGCCACTTTATTAGAAACACACACCTTGTGCTTCCGATAACTGACCACTTTATTAGAAACGCCCACCTAACTGGCCACTTTATCAGAAACACCCACCTTGTGCTTCCACTCACTGGCCACTTTATCAGAAACACCCATCTTGTGCCTCCACTCACTGGACACTTTATTAGAAACGCCTATCTAATAGCTCCACTGTGTAGGTGTACAGTTACAGACTGTAGTCCGTCTGTTGCTCTACAGTACATCAGCCCTCCACCCTGTTAATCACTGGTCAGTCTGTAAACACAGGACTGCTGTTATCGAGTATATCGTGTATCTGTCTCTCAGACTGAAGGCTCTTCTGTACTGAAAGGATTGGTGTTGGACCCAACATGCTCCTAATTTAATCAGGCCTCAGGCGGATATTTTTCACAAGGCACATCTCCCAAGTTCTGAGTCCAGTCTCGAGTCGTTAAAGGGCAAGACCGAGTCGAGTTATGAGTCGGTCAGCATGTGTTTCTTGCCTGAGTCAAACGATCTGGATGCTGTGTGTTTTGCAGGGAGATTCTGTTCCGACCCCTGTAGCCCCTCCAGCACCCCTTCCACATCAACACCAGCAGCAGCAGCCTCAGCAGCAGCAGCAGCAGCTGGGCCGACCCACCCCTCAGCAGAGGGTCAGCGCCGTGAGGAAGGTCACCGTGGCAACAGGAGGAGCACAGCAGCCACAGGAACCTGGAGGAGTGGCTGCAAACCAGACTAACCGGGTACTTCATCACACACAAATGCACAGCGGTACATATTCATCAAGTAAGAACGTTAGCCGCGTTTACATACAACCTAATAATCCATTAATAATCTGACTAATAGCTCAGTCGGAATAGAATACATCCATGTAAACACCTCAGTCAGAATAGTCTAGTCTGATTGAAGTCCTTCACAATACAGTTTCTATCCGACTGATCGAGGTGGGTAATCCTGTAAATAATCTGTTAAATAGAGGAATAATATCCGTGTAAACGCCTGTATCTGATTACATTCCCTATCGGAAAGTTTAAGTCCGTTCTGATCATGTTCGTCACGTCATAGTGAAAGTTTATACCGTTCAACATGGCGGAGCAGAAACTGGTCTGCAGAGGAGACGAAGTTTATGCTCTGATCTTTAAAAGACGGCGGTGGGACGGACGTCCAGCTTATGTGTCTCAGAACACGACGTCTTCCTCTCGGCCTTCTTTAATAAGGACATGTGAAGGACGTTTTCCTGAGTCTGACATCATTTTAAAGTCATTAAGAACACAAGCACTGCTCACTGCTGCTCATCTCACTCTGACTGGGCTCAAGTGATGTAGGTTGTCATGGTAACGTCTACACTAAGTGGTTCTCTACGCATGCGTGTAATTTTGGATCTGATTACTTGTAGTGAGCATGTAAACTGATTGTTGAGCGAGAATAAACACCTCAGTCTTAAACTATAATCAGAATGTATTCCATCAGATTGGCAAAAGTCTTTGCCTGTAAAGACAGACACTGATCTGAGTCTCAACAGTTCTTTTAATTGTGTTCAGTGTTGGATAAAATGCAGGAGAGGACCGTTGCTCTTTCGTCAGTGCTGGATGCTAAATCTTATTCTGTTTCCTCCACAAAACTCCATAAACCTGCTGGTATGGAACTGGGAAGCAGTGACGCTCTTATAGGCTGTTTTTACAGCAAGTTTGTTTGCGGAAGTCTGTTTAAACTTAACCAATCAGGTCGCTGATGCAGTGCCCTCTGCGATCCATGAGCCAAACTAAAGGGCTTTGCTTTACTATGAGTTTATCATTCGTATGTATTATCAGCAGCTCGTGCTGAATGAATGAATGTTGGCACAGATCTGGCCCAGCGCTCAGCGTCCTGCAGGGTTTTCAGCTCTTGCTGAATCTGAGGTTCAGGTGTCTTTAGCTGTTTTAAAGGGCAGAAGGTGAGTTTGTGCTGATGTCTTTATCCTCTCGGTGCTCCGTGCCGTCCTCAGGTCGTCGTTCCGGGTCGCGGTCGAGGTCGTGGGGCTCAGGTGGGTCGAGGAGGCGGAGGACGGATGATGATGCAGCAGAACAGGCCGAACCCCCGAGTGCCGGACCCTCAGCCCAGCACAGTGTCCATCGATGGCCTGTCCTCCACCACCACCGAGAAGCAGATCAAAAACCTGCTGAACTCCATCGGCCCCATACAGGTACAGCCAGGACAACAACCACAGGGCTGCACAGCACGGGCAGATATGTGGATGGAAGAATGGATGGGTGGTTGGATGGATGGATGAAAAATGATAGATGGGTAGACAAATAGATGGATGGAATGGGTAGAAGAATGGATGGATGTGTAGAAGAATGGGTGGATGGATGAATGGGTGAAAAATGATGGATGGGTTGAAGAATGGATGAATCCGTAAATGGGTAGATGCATAGATACATGGATAGATGAAAGCATGGATAGATTAAAAGAAGGATGGATGGGTAGCAGACAGTTGGATATGTAGGCAGATGAACAGACAGATCGATAGAGAGAAGGATGGATGCCTAGATAAGTAGATGGATAAAAAGATGCATAGATTGTTGGGTGGATGTATAGCCGAATGAATTGGAAGAAATAGAAAGATAGACAGAGACAGAGATTGGCAGACGGATAGATAGAACAATGGAGGATTGCATAAGTAAAAGGATAGACAGGTAGATGATGGACAGATCACTAGGGAGATGGATGTAGGTAAATCAGTTGTAGGTGGACGTTGTATGGATGGATAGACGATAGGACGATGGATGGACATACAGAGATTGATAGATGGAGAGTTGGATAGGTAGATGGATGGATCGATAAAGAGAAGAATAAACAGATAAATACATGGATAAGTAGAGAGAGATAGTTGGATGCATAGATTGGTAAATCGCTGATTGGATTGATAGACAGGTAGATGATAGTGAGATTGATGAATAAATAGGTAAATCAATAGAAGATGGATGTTAAATGGATAGATAGGAAGATGGATAGATGATCGGGAGATGGATAGATCGATAGAAGGATAAATATATAGGTAAATGGATGGATACATAGAGAAGGTCAATGGATGCATGGATTATTAGGTGGATGATTGGATGGATAGACATTCAGATGGATAAGTAGACAAATGGATAAGTAGAGTAGATGAATAGGTAGATGGGCAGATGGATAGATCAAAAGATGGATGGACTGATAGATGATGGAGAAATGAATGGATTAATAGAGAAGCAACAACAGAACATCTAAATCACACGTATTTAAAGGAGCTGCAACATTTACAGAATTTAACAAGCCAGTGAGATTTTTAAATCATTTCGTTTTGATGTGATTATATTTCTGTATTGTTCAGTTGTGATATGAATTCTGATATTAAAACATGTTTAACACTCATTTTACCCCAGTTAAGAGACAGATTGAGATAATTTACTCATTCTAAGAACATCATATTCTTTAGAATTAAAAGGAGTGAAAACACTCATCTCTGCAGAGCTCTGACCTGGTCTGACCTCAGCATGCTGATCTGTACCCTTGTGATGCTTCTCTTGATGTTATCTTTAGAATTCAATGAAATGATGCCATCTAGCTGTAGAACAGTGCACTGCAAGCTCACTCTGACTGCTGAACGTGCTTTACTCTGAGGTTCAGATCCAGTTAGAGTGACTGAACAGGGTGTTTTCATCCAGTGAGTCTGTACCGCTCTGGAATTCAGATATAGATATCACTGGGAAACCATAAAGTTTAGTGTGTTCATATTTTTATGACTCATTAGGACAGATTTTCAAAAATGTCTTCACAATTAAACTGTTCAGATGTAAACAGAGCAGTTCAGAGTGGTTTGGTGTGAAACGCTCCGTTCTAGAGAAACTTACCGAGTCAGAACTGTTCACAGTGGTGGTGATAGGAACCAGACGTCCACCTCTAAAAGCTCCCTCACAGAAAGTTCCTACATGAAATGGTTATGAATTCACTTCCTGATGACTGAGACACTGTTTTGATAGTTTTGAGGTTTTGGCCTAAAGCCTTTCTTTTTTTTTAATTAATTCATGGTGGAGGGATACATGCAAGGCATCGTGAGGCAAAATAGTCCCCAAAGAAAATGTATGATTTCATATTTTTCACTTTTTTCCTCTGAATGACTTTTACATCTTAACCACTTAATTATTCAGATATTTAGAAAGAAACAGTGGTCTTCCATTTTACTGCCCTGTTTTATTGCTCTGTCATCGCCGATGTGTGATTGTATCACTGAGCCGTGTGTCTGAGTCTGCTTGTTTCTCTGTTCAGATGTTTAAGATGCTGCCGGAGCAGAGGAAGGCGATTGCCAAGTTTGTGAACCCCCAGCATGCTCTGAGCTTTCAGCACAGCTTCCACAGGTGAGACACTTTCTGCCTCCTCAGTAAAGCAGCAGGCCAGTTTCCATCTGTTTTCCCTTTTTTAATCACTGTGCATCGAAAGCAGAAATAAAAAACACCCTTTTTTTCAGCACAGTTTCTGTACTGCGAGTGCCATTCAGTAGAAACTCATTTGGGAAGTACTGGAAGCCTGGAGTTATTATTGTCATTTTGCTGTACATTACATAATTCCACAATGATTTAATAATTTATAACTTAACCAAGCTTCGTTTTTCTATTTGTATTGGTGTCAAAAAATTCAAATCATTAATTAATCTCCTCTTAGTTGATCATGATTATCTTACTGTACCGGACGGTATGTTTATTGAAAGAAATAAGCTTGAAACAAGCAATATTTTCTGTCTTTTTGTATGTATGTATGTGTGTGTGTGTGTGTGTGTGTGTGTATGTATATACACACACACACACACACACACACACTTGTATATATATTTATATATATCTATATATATATATTTTTATATATATATATATATAAATATACTCATGTGAGGGTGTGTGTATTTATTAATATATCGCTGTTGTCAGAAGAAAACCTCCATTTTTGTCATTTTTCTGTTTGTGACATATGAAAATGCCTGTTGCTCTTTACATTGTGTTTACATTTCATGAAGATTGGACCAAAAGAAACGGCCCAAAATGATTTGGAAAAAATTCTGGTTCCATTGACTTACATTAAAAGTAAAGTAGGTTTTTTTCCTTCTACTCTAAAGTTACCATTTTGGAGAAACAAGGTTTTCTTCTGTCAGCAGCGCTGTATATTTAACTTGGTAAAAGAAAAAGAGTCTAAAAATAAGTAAAATAATCTTATATAAAGCTTCCAACAATCTCAAATGAGATGTAATATATATATATATATATATATATATATATATATATATATATATATATATATATAATTAATATCCAATAAATTAATGATGCATTGACTAGATTTAAGATGATTTCACTTCAACACACCGTTTTTTCCAATGTACAAGATGCTTTTGTTATTGTCAACAGTAACTCACATCTGAGGGTTAATTTAAAGGCAGAGCAAAGTTGTGGACCATCGTAGGAAGTTGTGGAGTTCAGAAGGTCCTGTCAGTGTGTCTAACGTGGAACCACATGTTCTTCTGATCATATAGGCACATGATAGATCTGTCTCACATTGACGTGACCATTATCGAGGGCTGAGGAACCTCCTCAAGAAAAACCCAGAAAGCAAAGAGACGGAAGGGCGTTGGTGAGCAGCCGGCTGCTGGAGGGAAGCCGGAGCTTTGCTGCAAAATCCTCACAACACTCAAAACAAGCGTCGAGCAGTGGAGCCGAAACGGGAAAAGCCGAAAGAGATCCGACCAGCCGGTTCTGTCGAGCCTGGGACGAGACTTTGAGCACCACAGACTCCTTCTGTTTTGTGAATAGCAGTTATGCATTATAGCATTTAACCCCCTAAACTGAGTGAAAGACGAAAGTCCTCGTCTTTTTTTGAAGGGACGCATCCTGACTTTGATAAAGGAGTAAGTGAGACTAGAGAAAGGCGGACAGTTTTTTAAGTGAATGACGCTCGATAATGGTTGCTCCCGTCCTGAGGTTGACAGCTGGTGAACAGCTCCTGGAGTCACGGGTTTGTAATTAGACTGAAGCATGCAGGGTGGTGCAGTTCTGCCACCAGCAGAGGGCAGTATAGGAATGTAAATAATACCCTCGATGGAGAACAGTGGAGGTGACTAAATCACCATGAGCCATGTGGGTTGAGTTTAGGAAGCACTGAGTGTATTCAGGCCTTATCATGCATGCTTTCTCTCCCTTTTCGCTGAGGTTCATGTTCAGCATCCTTTCGTCTGTCGGGTTGGATCAATATTTGGAGCCATTTGGCTCATATTTGTCAGTTTAAAACGTTTGAGGAATCTTCTCACAGTGTTTTGAGCTTGGTTTCAGTTTTCTGCTTAGTTGAGAGGAACCTTGTCAGGTCGCTTCAACAGCGTAATCCAACGTACGGTCAACTTTTATAAAAACAGATTTTAATTTTGGACGCTCCAGTGGCGAATAGCATTTGTTTTATGGTAATCATCAGGATTTTGGGTCAGTTACTCAGACAGAGGTTGAGCCTAGTGCCTGGAACTAGGCTTTAAACCCAGTCTTGGTGTTGAGTTTGACTCTTCAGGTCCCCATACTTCCTTAGTTGATGCTTTTTCTGTTTAATTTGATCATTAACGTTACAGATTGGTTGAAAACCTGGCTTGATTTGGCATGTTTGCAGCCCACTGGGGGGCGCTAGTCTGCTTAATATGTGATTTGTTCAGTTCTGGACTGTGATGTGAACTTGTTTGTCGGAAAAGCACCTACAGCCTATGAAATGTGTGGTCTTGAACAGTGGTCAGGCTTCAGACGCTTCATTTTTTTGTTCTCTGTTAGACTTTTTGTTTTAAAGCTGCTCTGTATGTTGATACATTAATACATTTTACATCTCTGTGTTGGGTCGTCCACCAGTTTTCGCCTCTGTAGCGCTACGGATTCAATAAGTATTCAATACTTTTATGGATTGGGCCACAGCTGGGAGGAAGGGAGGAGGAAGCCTCTGGAAAAGCTTGGAAATAACAGCGAAGGTGATTCATTTTTGGTTCCCGTCTGCTGCCGATTTGCACCGTTTTGGTGAAAATTTAAGACGAATGAGCTTTTCAGTGAGGTCAGTCCCAAGGATGATCAGTCCTGGCACCTATTTTGCTGTGATTTGTGTCCAAAAGGGCCGCTTTGATCCTAAATGCATTCGTTATTCCTCTTTTCCCCCCGTTCAGCGCTCGCTCTCTCTCTCACGCCTCCCCAAGTTCCATTACGGGTATGAATCCACACCTCATCTCGCTTCAATCCTCTGCATGTCCGCTTCTTCATTTACTCTCCAAACGACCACCACCGTCTCTCTGTCTGCTGTCCTTCACATTCCTGCACACTGTGCGTTTCCTCTTCGTCCAAACGTAGCTGAAGAGCTGGGAGCAACTATTATCAGCGATCATGATCATGTATATATAGTTCAGCCCATCGTTATTTTATTTTCTCCTTTCCCGAACGTTCAGTGGAACCAGAGTTTCAGAAATTGCTACTCCCACAGCAGATGTACTTCTTTTCTTTTTTTGTTTTGTTTTTTATTATTATTTTATTACTGTTGGGGTTTATTTTGTACAAAAAAAAAAACACATCCGACTGTTTTACACGTTGTTGACGAAGGGCAGCCGGCTCTCTGCGGCTAGCCCGTCGCCTGAAGACGTTTTAAAGATTGAAAAATAAAAGATGGTCATGTGTATACCATGTAAGAACGGGATACATGAAGCCAGTCTAACTTTTCCTGGAACGTTACTCGTCTCGTTTGTTGTGTTTGTGTGGAAAGGTGCCTTTTTTTAGTGTTTACTCCGTTCAGAGCCTCTTCCAGACTGTTTTTTCTGAAATGTGAAAAAGCTAAATTTTGCTTTTGAACGGCTTTTCAGATTTCAGGATATTTCTTAGTAATTAACGGGTTTAAGTCTAAACCAATGCCAGTCGGCTGAACTGAAGTTTACAGATAAAAAGTAGACATTTTGACTCAAGTTTAGGTTTTAGGATTTTGTACTGAGATACTCAGAGATTCAGCTGGTAATCTATAGATAAAAATATAGACTTAATATTTAATGTCTTGTCCACAGGTGTTCCGTAGTTTCTAACACAATGTTGGTAAGATGGCAGATTAGTATTTAGTATTTTATGTATTGCATGCCTGACTATCTTTGTACTGTTTTTTATTATTTTTTAAGACTTTTTTACTTTGGGTTTATTTATTTTTTGTTTGTTTTTCTTTCATAAGTGGATTACACATCAGTTTTTTCCTTGACTCTCTCATATTGCACTTTAAATCTCCGTGAATTTGGGGGTTGTTTTAATGCATTTTTAAAGCGTAAACCTTAAGGGTTTGGAAACGTATCAGCTGTGCTGACCTGTCACATGATAGACCCTCGCTAGAGCTTAAGATTTAAGACTTGTGCCTTAAACGTTAAAAACAGGCTCATATTGAACCTTCCAGTAACTTCATTAGAAGTTTGTGAATTAATTTATAAGTTGTTTATAATTATTAATGCTGGGATTTTTAACAGTACACTGCAGAAATGATGTCTTGGCAAATGAAAACCAGTCGGTACGTCTGATATTCCTCATTGTGAGGCTGCTGTGAGAATATTGTGATTGTTCATTTGTTCTTTCTTGTTTGTGATTTTTATCTAAGAGAAACTGGATTCTGTTGGTAGATCATGTCGCTCGTTTTAAGAAATCATGCCAGTATCTGCCAGTAGAAGTACAATTTCACCAGATAAAAGGACTTAAAACAAGTAAACAGAGTGTAGAAATGAGTTCTAACAGCCTCGTAATGAGAAATGTCAGTCATACTGACTACATTTAAGATCTTCACTTTGCTCAGATGCCATTTTCTCAATTATCGCCCAACCTGAGGCGAATAGAGCCGTCGCGAGTGCGCGAGAGAAGGCCTTTCTTCTCTCTCACCGACTGCTCAACTCCATTAGTTCCCTTTGAACCTTTTATTGGATGTTAAAATCACTTCACAGCCTTGATTGTGTTTCAGGAACACAGTGGAGCCGCTCACAGCCAGAGTTACGGCTTCTATAACTCCGCTGATAAGGCGGCTGCAGCACCGTCGACCGGCCAGAACTCCTGTTGTGCCATTTTAACCTCATTTTTTTTCTCTGTTTCAGATCCAGAGACTCCTGAAGGAGGGTTATTCAGAATTGTTGAACATCTTACTTGTTTATTGTTTATTATCAGACTGTCTGGCCGGAGCTAAATCCCGCCAGGGGCCGCTTTTAGAGCCGCTGCTGAAGATTTTAACGCATCGTCTGCTGCAGACAGTGAGATGTTTCTCCTTTTATGAAAAACCCTCCTTCAGTTTCGGCTCAACTAACGTCACGTCTGTCCACAGTTGGGCCGCGTCCAGCCGGCCGCCGCTTCCTCTAACACGTCTGCGTTTTTCAACAGGTTCTCGTCCAGTTTGAGGGGTCGGACTGTCAACTTCAGCAAACCTCTACTTCTCTCTCTCTCTCTCTATGTCTCTCTCTGTCTCTCTCTCTCTCTCTACCAGCTGCTGGATGACCGCTGCTCTGCTGCCCCTTTTTTTTGTTGACTTGAACATTGAACCTCTTTTATATTGAGCAGGGAGGACGTTGCGTCTGGATTTCCTTTGTTTGTTTACCCAAACCCGCGGACCGTTTTGCATCACTGAGACCGCACCCGAACCGGGGGTCCAAAGTTCAGAAACTCGCGCTAAAGCCCAGAGCGATTTGTACAGTCTTGTCTGTTGTACACGCGACCTCTGCTTTGTCGGTTTGGACTGAAAACAAAAAGGAAACGCAGCTTTTCCTTGGAATCTTTATTATAATAATTCTGATTATCATTGTTATATTATTGTACAAGAGAAATGTGTTGTGGAGTCCAAATTCAGTGGTTTTTGTACAGACTCTGTTAAACTGAACTGTCACGGACGTTTAAATTGACGATGTTTGTTCACGTCCGTTTATGGAATCAAAAGTGGAATTCAGTGATATTTCTACAAAACCAATAAAACTAAACTCTAAATCTGTTTTTGTGTTTGTGCTTTTTGGCAGTCAGATCTGCAGAACATTTGAGATGAAGGTTCACAGCAGATATGAATAAGATAAGATTGTGTAATTGTGTCTTTAGTTTGGGCCAAAAAAAAGGAAATTGCTGCGGTTGGAACAAAACCTCATCTCCATTTTTGTAGATTTTCAGAATGAATGGACCAAAAGAAACGACCCAAAATAGCTCGTAAAAATTCTGGTTCCATTGACTTCCATTAAAAGTAAAATGTTTTTTCCTTCTGTAAAGTTATCATTAAGGAGATACGAGGTTTTGTTCCAACAACAGAGAAATTTTACAGTTTGTTTCTTTCCCCAAATATAGTCGATGAACCAAGACAAGTTTGTTTGACCTGCACTTTTTCAGTTTTCCGTCAAAGTTGTAAAGCTAATCTCCAACATTCAGCATCATGCTAACTGCAGGTCTAAATCATCGAGTGCTTCAAACCAGCACTTGTCAAAAATTAAACAGTTAAGACACAAACAGAGTCGTTCAGAGTGGTTTGGTGTGAAACGCTCCGTTCTAGATAAACTTACCGAGTCAGAACTGTTCACAGTGGTGGTGATAGGAACCAGACGTCCACCTCTAAAAGCTCCCTCACAGAAAGTTCCTACATGAAATGGTTATGAATTCACTGCCTGATGACTGAGACACTGTTTTATGATAGTTTAGAGAACTTAATCTCCATTCATGGTGGAGGGATACATGCAGGGCGCTGTGAGGCAAAATAGTCCCCAAAGAAAACTTATTATTTCAGATTTTCCACTATTTTCCATCATCAACATTCCATATAAACTCAGAAGACTCGTGTAGGTTCACTGGTGGTTCTGGACAGTAAATAAAGTGTCTATATTTGTGTTGTCGTCATGGCGACCCCTGGTTCCTATCACCACCACTGTAAAGACATCTGAGAAGTCAGTGTAATTCCTCTCTAATAGACTTGTGGTTTCTGATTCTGTGATATGCTACTATAATAATACAGTAACTGGATAAACCTGTGTGATGTACTCTTTTTACTTCTTTTGATAAATGCTCATTTATATCCACACTGTTTACACAAATCTAGGTGGTGTTTGCAGTCGTTCACAAAAGTTTGGGCGCCCCTGGTCAAAAAACTTTGTTGATTTAACATGTTGGGGAAAAAACGTGTCATAACTTTTGCACAGGCTACATTTTGTGTTGAATGTTAAATCCAGTAAATACACAGTGCAGAAACGTGTCTCTGTACAGCATATGAACTTATTTACACCTAGAAAATCAATAGAACAGGGAATTTGGCCAATTTAGCCAAACTTTTTCACCCAACTGTAAGTTTTCTGGCTGGTTGTGAGGACGGACAGGTGGGTAGGTTATGCGCCTCTTGGATAAATGTTTATTTGAGATGACTAACTCTTTTTTTTTGGCATTATGCAACCTTTTCAGTTTTTCACTCGCACCTCACAGGTCGCATTTTTTCCTCCTCTTCTTCTTCTCTGTTTGCGAATGTCAGAGAGCGTTTGCTGAAACGTTCCTCTCTTTTTTCTCCTCCAGCCACGAGGCCCCCTCTGCGGGGATTAGGGCGGTTTTATTTACCTGCTGGGGAGGAATGCTTTCGCCTGGCCGCTTTTGTATCGGTGCGAAGGCCCAAGGTCAGGGAGTCTCGGCTGCGCTTCTTTAAGGGGCTCCTAAAAAAATCCACACAATGAAATGAAGGATTCTGGAGTGGAGCTGCTGGAATTTCTGTTCGTGTTGCGACAGAAAGCCCCACATTCTCCACCCAAACAAACAGAGGGACTAATGAACCCAGAGGCTGCTAATGAGTTTGCAGGGCAGTGTAAAAATGATCAAACGGGCAGTAAACGGTTCAAAAAAGGACACAGGGATATGTTTCATCTCAGAAATGCCTTTCATAAATCTTCTGCATTGTTTGGATTATGGCTTGAAGGTCAGGCTCAGAGCTTTGAGGGCTGTTTTGTGCCCAAAGTCAGGTTTCTTATCTTTGCTTCGTTACTCTGGGCCTGAATCAGTGGCTGATCTTTGTAAATGTAAATTAATATAGTCCAGATATAATTTTTACTTTATTCATGAATAGTTTACTGTTTGTTACAGGCAGTGTGGGACTCTTTTGTTGCTTTTGTTTTTGTCTGAAACCAGACCTGTCTAACCAAAAAAACTTTTTACTTATTGCACCAGAACAAAACCTTGCATCTCCAAAAAGGATCATTTTGTAGAAGATGGGAAAAAATTTTAATGAAGAATTTTTTCATTCCAAGAAATTTTGGACCATTTCTGTCGGTGCATTCATCATGAATTTTTGACACAGTGTAAAGGGCATTTGGTGAGTACAAGTTATGTCAAAATATGAAAAATGATCCGACAGCAATGCGCATTTTAGTTCAGGCCGTTAAAAAATGAATTAAAAAATCACAGTTTTCTGATTGTCTCAAGTTTTGCTGAAAAAACAAATTGTTTCGTTCAGCCGCTAAGGGGGCAGTTACTTTTTCACAAAGGCTTAATTGGTGTTGGGAAAACTTTTTTCCCCCATCAGTGATGAATATCATTTAAAAACTGTTTTGTGTTTTTACTCAGGGTGTCTTTGTCGTAAATCTAAAATTTTGTTTACATTTTTATTAGAAACTATTTTTGTAATAGATTATTTTAACCAAATGCTGAAGTTTTTAATTGTAGTTACTCAATTATGTTCTTTACTCGTGATGTAATTACATTATATTCTCTCTTATGTGCTGTGAAAAAGTATCTACTCCCTCCATTTATTTATTTATTTGTTTATTTTTCTGTATCGGATCTGCAACTGAATGCTTCCTATAACCGGAGATAATATTTCACATCACTGTGGAGGGATTTGGGCAGAATTGCTTAAATTAATCCACATTGAAGGACTTCTTTCAAGTATATACTCCCCGTTTAAGAGCCACACTAGGATGGACTTAAAGTAGGTCACTGCAGAACTGTTCCTTTGAGCCGTTCAGAAGTGGATGTGCTCTAGTGCTTTAGATCGTTGTCTTGCTGCATCACCTGATAGCACTTGTTCTTGGACGTTCCCCTGCAAGATTTTCTGGGGCAGAATTCATGGTTCAGTCAATTACGGCAGGTTGACCAGTCCCTGAAGCAGCAAAGCATGTCCCCACCATCACACTACCACCACCATGCTTCACTGCTGGTATGATGTTCTTATTGTGGAATGCTAGCTTTACGGCACAACTGCCTCCCAGAAAGCTCTGCTTTTGGTGCATTGGTCCACAGAGCGTTATTCCGAAATGTTTGTGGGGTCATCACGGAGTTTTTTGGCAAATGTGAGATGTGCATTTATGCTCCTCTTGGTTAGCAGTAGTTTTAACCTTGCAACCCCTGGACCCCATTTTAGCCCCCCAGTTTCTTTCTAATGGTGGATTTACGAACGCTGACCTTATCTGAGGTGAGAGAGGCCTGCAGTTAACTAGAAGTTCATCTGGGTTCTTTTGTGACTTACTGATGATTCAAGATTCTCCTAGATCTGAGCTCTAGTCTAATCCTAGATCAGAGCCAAAAGTGTGACCCACGAAAGGGTGAGGATGTTTGATTTGGCCTGCCAGAAAGCTACCCTTACCCCAACCCCACCACCCAATGAGAGAATACACATATTTGTATACTATATATAACTTATAAAACTCTTATTTTCCCTTTAAAATTGTATTTTTGAAGTATTACAAAATTTAGTGTAATCTTATTAAATACATTTGTAAGTACTTAATTTGTTGTCTGCATGCCTTCTTCAATTGTATATTGTTATGTCTTTTTGGCCCACCACAAACATAATATGTTGCCTCATGACAAAATGTTTTGGCACCCCTGTTGTAGATGGTTTCAGAACAAGATCCAGGTTAAATTAAATGGTTAAGATGTAAACAACGTCATTCAGAGCGGTTTGGAGTCAGAACTGTTCACAGTGGTGGTGATAGGAACCAGACGTCCACCTCTAAAAGCTCCCTCACAGAAAGTTCCTACATGAAATGGTTATGAATTCACTGCCTGATGACTGAGACACTGTTTTATGATAGTTTAGAGAACTTAAACTCCATTCATGGTGGAGGGATACATGCAGGGAGCTGTGAGGCAAAATAGTCCCCAAAGAAAACTTAGATTTTCCACTATTTTCCATCAATAACATTCCATATAAACTCAGAAGACTCGTGTAGGTTCACTGGTGGTTCTGGATAGTAAATAGAATGTCTATATTTGTGTTGTAGTCATGGCGACCCCTGGTTCCTATCACCACCACTGTATAGACATCTGAACCATTTCACACCAAACCGCTCTGAATCTCTCTGTTTACACCTGAAGGACTGAATTATACAGAAATTTTGTGAAATCAGTGGGCTGTAGTGTGGTAGGTAATCCACTAGAGGGCAGTAGTGGACAACAAACTTAAGCCTCACTTCCCTGATGCGTCTGGGCGTCAGGTGAGCTCAGAAATGGGTTCTCCTTTCACAGACAGCAAAAGCTGAAGAAAGTAAGCCACTGCTGGTACCTCACTGGTCAGCTGTAGTGGATAATCTCATTGCGGCAGGTTGTATAACTTGGTGCTTTGTTGAATGAGCTCCAGATCTTGCAACAGAGCTGGATTACCTTCTAAAAAAGCTCTAAGCCAAAGCAAGAACACTGAACCGTGATTTCAGCGAGGCTGGGACCCCAATACGACCAACATTTCTTGCTTTATCGATCAATTTACCACAAGAAATGCCAGAAAGGCAGCAACTAGTGCTCCTGGACTGCTTTAGTGATGGTCACACCTCTCAGTTTGGCCTCAGTAGACCAGAAAGATCCCAAAATAGGAGAAGAAAGGAGCCGGGTTCTTGTTCTCCAGCTTCATGTTGCAATTGTCCGTTCCACCTTAAATGGTTAGGCGCTAGAATGCAACAGCCGCAACATTTAAGGAGGAACGGACAATTCGAATAAGAAGCCAATCTCTTCTTTGGAAAGATAGTTTCGCTGCTGTTTGCTCAGATCTCCCCTCATGTGGCCACAGTATCGATCAGGCTATCGATCAAGCCTGTTTATTAGGTTGTTTATTAGACTGTTTATTAGGCCGGGTCCTGTAAAAGGCGCTTGCGGCAAAGCGCAAACAGCGGCCGTGTTTAATCTGTCTGAGCGCCTTTGCGGCTCTATTTGCATAAGACCGAGCTCCAAAATGTAGCATCACACCAACACTTCTCACACGCGCCCACCAAAGCTGAAGCCCCCCTGAGAAATGAAACGTTCACAGAGCAACAGCGACTTTCACTTGGTTTTTAAATTGATTTTTTGCATTTTTAGATTTTCATTTTAGCGTTTTTTTTTTGCTCTGACATTGTCTCGACTTCAGTTTCGCTCCTGTTTGGTGGCCATAAAGCTTCTTCATCGCCCCATTTTGCTCCATTACAGATTACAAATTGTGCCACGTTTAAGAGCAACTCTTCATTTACAGAACGAATTTGCGATTTTTCAAACCAAATAAAACAAAATTGTTCTTAATCACAAAATAGTTGTTTTTCTGTTTCTTTCTTACAACATCAGGAACGTTTTCCCCTCATTTCATATCTTAGAAAGTAAAGAAAGTACCAAATTTAGTAATAATTACTTGCATCTAATTAATTTATGAAAGAAATTTGCGATTTTTGAAGCCAAATAGTGCGAAATTACTTTTTAATCGCAAAATTCTTTTTTTTCGCTCTGCTTGAACGATCATTCTTAGAACACCAGGAACGTTTTCCCCTCATTTCATCCCTTGGAAACTAAGGAAAGTATCACAGTTAAGAATAATTACTTGCATCTAATTCATTTATGAAACAAATTTGCATTTCTGAAGCCAAATAGTGTGAAATTGCTTTTTAATGGCAAAAAAATAGCTTTCACTTTGCTTTAAGGACCATTCTTAGAACACGAGGAACGTTTTGCCCTCATCTCGATCACTTAGACACTAAGGAAAGTACCACATTTAAGAGTAACTACTTGCATCTAATTAATTTATGAAACGAATTTGCGATTTTTGAAACGAAATGTTCGACTAATCGTTACTTTTTTCCGCCCACAACAGAGAAATCTGACAACAGAAAAAAAAACCACAGGCACGTTTCCATAGTTTGTCAGATTTTATAATAAACATATAAATAATAATTTCTATGCATTTGCTGACACATTGAGGCCTCGCTATGATGGGCTACCAGCCTGGAACAACTGTGCATCTGCTACATTTTAATTCCTCTAAAAAACTATTTACCTATTACAAAATATGAAAAAACAGAACAAAACCAAACAAAACAAAAAAATACATTTTGCAAATTTCCATGAGTTACTTATTAATTTATTAAATGAAAAAACTCGCTCCGTAGCTACTTTGTTAGACTACTGAATTGTCAAAAATGTGCATTTTCTATTTTCTCCCAAGAAAAAATAGAAATAGAAAAGATTAAAAAAAAAAAGCAAAAAGAAAAGGTTGAGGAGAGAAGTGAGCGGAAAACCTTACTGAGCAGAACAGCACAGGGTCACTAATTTAAATTAAAATATAATTCTCGTAAAATTTACACTATTTAAAAAAAACAAACAAACAAAAAACAAAGAAAAGTGATTTCAGGAAACGATCGGTCAAAATCTACTCATTTACAATTCTGTGTATAAAAATATAATTTATGGCCCCCACAAAGTTTTGCTCGTCCCCCAAAATATAACAGTCAGTTGCACATATGCACAGAACATTACAACCTGTCCAGAAGTTTTCTCCTTTTCTACCATTTTACATGATTTTTTTTTTTCAATTTTTGCAGTTATTTTTGTACTTTGTTTTTTATTTTTTTTATTTCTTTTTTTTAAACTTTTCTCTCCAGTTTACTTCAAATATACAAAAATAGATTCTGCACATCTGGCTGGTCCCACTGAAGTAGACTCCATTTGAGTGTCGCCAGCCTTTAGTTCACACGAGAATAAATTATTCAAAGATAACTTTTAAGGCTCCATTTCTTTCTTTCTTACTCTTTCTTTCTTTTTTTTTTACTCTTTTTTTAAAATGACAAATGTAAAAGTCAGTGAAATAAATATCCCACCTCTTCCTGGGGCCTCTCTCTCTCTCTCTCTCTCTCTCTCACTCTCTCTCTCTCTCTCTCTCTCTCTGTCTCTCTCTCTCTCTCTCTTTGTTTTTATATACTAATATTGTCTTATATCCTACATTAGTTTGAAATGTCCACGCGAGTCTTTTTCAGCTTGACTGTGCAGGCATGCCCAGCGGATGAAGCGAACGCTTGTCCAAGAGCCAAGTTCCCATTCGGTAGAGCAGCCTGGAGTACCAGTGGATTCCGTCCGGCTGTGCGGTCGAGTTTGACAGCTGGGAGCTCTCTGGGAGTAAAAACGAGGACAAGCCGTAGGCTAACCTGACCGGGGCGAAGGCCCAGTGGGCTAGTCTGTGGTCCTGGATGACAGCGTAGCAAGACGCCAGAACGTGGTCCACCACGATGGTGCCGTGAGAAGTGACCGGTGCGTATGAGCCTTGGTGCTCCTCCAAGTATATCCTTTCCACGACCACAGGGCTCAGCTGACCTTTGTCGCCATTGAGGACCAGCACCTTCTGTCCGGGTTTGACCTCGCTGGCGAACGCGGCCCTCATGGCCTGGACGTCGCTGGTCGAGTTGTCAAGGATGAAGATCAGGTGGGCTGCGGTCAGGGTGATCTTTTGGGCTTTGGTTTCTATCACGTAAAACACTCTTCTGGTGGACGGGTCTCGGTCCGTGAACATGACGAAGTCGCTGTAGACCAGCTTCCCCGCTTCGTCCGCTGCTAGCACCGTGTCTCCGGGCTTCAGGTCCATCACGGCCTTCTTCCGTCCGTCCTTCAGCTGGACCTGCGAGGTTCCTGGGAAACAACCTCCGGACTTGGCGGCCACCGAGTTCTCTGTCGGGACAAATTAGCATGTTTTTATTTCATCTTTAATGGAACACGCTAGCTGCAGTGCGAGGCTACTGTTCAGAAAATGTGTTAGCAACACTGAACAAAGGGACAAAATCAGATTTACACGACTCCTATGCATTAGTCTGAATGTCTGATCAGCCAAGCTGTCTGCTTTCGTCTAATGTAATGTTAGCTAGCGTAGCTAGCAAGTTAAGGAGCTTACTTCCCATTTAGCATTGTGCAAACATGCAGCTAACAAATAAAGGAAGCTTATAGCTCACCAAACTCGTGTAATCTTGCTTCTATGCTTTCTGAAATAATGCTGTTCATAAAAATGGACTCAAGACGTTTTTAGCTATGCTAACACTTTTTTTTACATGTTTATAGAGGACAGTGAGTCATACAGTATAAGAAACCACATAAGCAAGTCTAAGATTACTTATCAACTCTGTCAACAAATTTTGATGCAATCCACAGTGCTAACTGGTGGGAGGTAATCTTCCATTACTCGTTAGCTACATTAGCTTCGTAGCTCACTAACTAGCTAACATGACTCGGCTGACTGACTACATTGTAGGTAAATGGTGGGGGGGGGGGCACATTTGATTGAACTGCTTTCAAATGTTATAAAACACAAAAAAGTCAATTTGGACGTAATCTTGCATTACTTGTTAGCTACATTAGCTTCATAGCACCAGCGTTAAAACTAAAGATGCAGCTAACGTGACTCGGCTGGTTGACTACATTTGAGATAAATGGGGGGGGGGTACATTTGATTGAACTGCTTTCAAACATTAAGAAATACTGAAGAGAGTCAATTTGGACGCATTACTTGTTAGCTACATTGGCCTCATAGCTCCAGCGCTAAAACTAAAGACGCAGCAAAAGTGACTTGACTGGTTGACTACATTTGAGATAATTGGGGGGTGTACATTTGATTGAACTACTTTCAAACATTGAGAAACACTGAAGAGAGTCATTTTGGACGTAATCTTACATGATTTGTTAGCTACATTAGCTTCGTAGCTCCAGCGCTAAAACTAAAGATGCAGCTAACACGACTCGATTGACTGACTACATTTGAGGTAAACTGGGGGGGGTGTATTTGATTGAACTGCTTTCAAATGTTAAAAACATGAAAAAAGTCATTTTGGACGTAATCTTGCATGACTTGTTAGCTACATTAGCTTTGTAGCTCCGGCGCTAAAACTAAAGACGCAGCAAAAGTGACTTGGCTGGTCGACTACTTTTGAGGTAAATGGTGGTGTGGGGGGCGGGGGGGGGTGTTTGATTGAACTGCTTTCAAACATTGAGAAACACTGAAGAGAGTCAATTTGGACGTAGCCAAAAGAAGCGTTAGCGAGCGGGCCATGTTGGCCCACAGCGTTGCCTTGGTGGAAAGGAAAAAAAAACAAAACAAAAGAAATAGTGGCCGCTGTGTGAATTCGGTTGTAAATCTAAGGCCCTTGAAGAAAAGAAGAAGAAGGGGGAAGTCTTTGTTGGAGACGAGGGAAGGGAAGAGCTTGGACCGGTCTAATTAAAAACCAATAAAGGCCGGACATTGTCATTCTAATGCGGCTTGTGTACGGACCACTCTTGGAAAAGGACACTCATGCCTTTCCCAGCTCCTCTTTCATATTTGCTCAGGTGCAGAAACGTCTGGGTGACAATTCACACGCACACATTGGCTGCCTGCTTAAAAAGAAAAGGCCCCGGAGTAGTATTTACTCAGGCCAGACACTTTTGCAGCTCTCTCATGACGGAGATTTGAATGTAAATTAGCTGCGGGGTTACAAACAGGAGGCCTAACATCAATGCCTTCTTATTCCTCTCTCTCTCTCTCTCTCTCTCTCTCTTTTACCATCATTGCTCTTCTCCGTTGTCAATCCTGGGAGAACCCTTCGCATTCCCGCTCTCTCGGATCACACGTTCGGTAAACACAGGCCCCAAAGAATGGGCTCCTCCCGCTCCGGATTTATTTTTTAAAGTCTAATCCTCTCATGAGTTCCCGGGCCGTGCGAGAAAGGTGGCCACAACTGGGGAAACAGATTTGGGCGAACGAGTTCAGCCTTGCTCGGGCCCAAATCCTTTTGATAGAGGCGCGTGACCCCGAGTGACACGGTCCCTCAATGTATGTCCCAAAACGTGTGTTTTGAATTACAATCTGAAGATTTGTTTTTTTACATCGGAAAATCGGGGCGGGGGGTCGGCGGAGGGGGGGGGGTGTTATGCTAATGCGGTCCACAGAAAGCACACGAGGCCTGTTTCTCCCAAACCAATCAGAGTGAAAAGCGGTTAAGTGAATGATTCAGCCAGAAAACCAGATTTATACAACTTTCCAAATTTTGCTTCTTTAGTTTGGAACTGGAGCGGCGATGCTAACAGATAATAGACCTCAATAGTCACCCAAATAGCCTGAATCATTTCTGATAAAATACATCCTGAAAACATCTCCACATTCCCATCCAGGCCTTTATTAAGGTGGTGCAGACGCGCTAATGTGGTTTAGGACACTTTCAGACGACAGGGTTTTTACAAACCTCCTCTGGAGGGCCGTTTACTGAAGTTCTGCTCATTTTTGGGTTCATGTTGGGGACTAAACCACACTGGCAAGTCTGCATGAGCTTAATCCAGAGCTGGATGTGGTTTGAGTGAGTTGAGAGACGTTTTGGTGACGTATTTTTACAGAAATGATTTGGGTGACTATTGAGTTCTAGTCTTCGTTAGCAATGTTAGCCTCGTATCTCCAGTTCTAAACTAAGGAAGTAAGATTTGGCCTCCAAACATGTCTTGGCTGATGGACGACATCTGGGGGAAGTGGAAAATTGGGTGAATTAGATTTTTTACCAATATTTTAATAGGTTTAACCTCATAAACTACAAGAAGTCCATAGGCGGCTTATTACGCATTGCATTATAATTCAGTTTTGCCTCATAACTTTAGAACTTACACATCAGTTTTGCAGTACATTGACATTTACGCATCTGGCAGATGTTCTTATCCAGAGCATAATAATTTGAACATGCTACAGAATTGATATTGACAGTGAGTTCTTGCCCAAACAGGGAACTGAACCTGCAACTGTGTGGAGATTAATAACTGGTTCATGAGTTTGCAGTTGATGAATCTCAGCAACGTTTGTCCATATTGGCTTTAAATTTGGTAGAAAATTTGACCACGAAGAAACATTATAGTACGTAATTTGTCTCAGCTCTGACTCCAACTCTGCCTGGGCTAAGCTACATCTCTATAAATGGTTTTGACCAAGCTAAGTGCAGTTTCCTGATCTCTAGCAGGAGTCCAGAGGGGCTCCTTTAAGAAGATCCATCCACTGATGCACTGATAACAGTATTTTCTTCACCCAGACAGAGTGGGGCGATATAAGATAAGGTAACACTCACTGCCACAGCTTAGACCACAGTGACAGTTTCACCACAGCAGCTTAGACATCTTTTCATTTTATGACTGGATTTTATGTCTGGAGATGAGGTCTGTTGATGGTTAAGCCTTTAAAGAGCTCTGTTATACACTGCTATAACTGTAGACTGCATTAGTTTGCATTGTTTTCCATGTAGTTACTGTATAATGAGCTGTATATATAACAAGTCTCAGACTTAAAGGGTTTAAATAGAAAAATTAGGGCCAAATGAATGTGAGGGAGTTCAGTTCAGTTGTTAAAATTAAGATGTTTTAGTCATTCCCAACAACTTAAACCACAGCTATTCATTTTAAGATTAATTATTCAGTAACTAATATTAATTATTCAGTTTCAACTATGATTTACTCATGAATTTCAATGAATTATTGAGAATATACCATAAAATATTGATATATAACTATTATGAAGTATTCAGCATCTACTATAGAATATTCAATATTTACTATGGATTATTCAGTATCTACTATGAATTATTCAGTATATACTATAAAATATTCCAAATGTACTATAAAATATTGAGTAATTTTTATGAATTATTCAACATCTACTATGAATTATTCAATTACTACTACAAAATATTCAGGATGTACAATAAAATATTGAGTAACTACTATGATAATTCAGTATCTTCTTTAGAATATTCAATATCTGCTATGAATTATTCAGTATTTACTATGAATTATTCAGTAACTAGAGGAATTATTCAGTTTCCACTATAAATTATGAAGTATATGCTAGAAATATTGAGGAACTACTATGAATTATTCAGCAACCTCTGTAAATTATTCAGAATCTACTATGAATTATTCAGTAACTCCTTTGTTCTGAAGTGAGTTCTGTTGTTCTGCCAGTGTGGAACTGAGATGTCGATCCACATACAGACCCTTACAAACTAAGTGGTTAATTTTATTAATAAATTAATTTTCATTCGTTATGATTAATTAATTCACCTTGTATGATCTTTTAGAGCCTTTGGCCGGTCAGTTAGAGTCCAGTGTCCTCACCTGCTTTGACGGAGCAGTGGATATGGGCTTTGGACTCGTAGTAAACCCAATCGAAGCCGGCCTCCACCGCCAGCCTGGAGAGCATCCCATATTTACTCTTGTCCCGGTCGGAGGTGGTGATGTCCACGGCCCGGCCCTCGTAGTGCAGGGACTCCTCAAAGTGGTGTCCGTCTTCGTCCCAGCCTTCGGTGACCCTCAGCTTGACCCCCGGCCACTGGTTCATTACCGAGATGGCCAGCGAGTTCAGCTTGTCTTTGCACCTCTGAGAGAGACGGAGAGACGTTTTTATGGACAACAGTGACAGAAACAACCACTCCACACACTCTGAGGAGAATATGTGATGATTTACACGATGCTAATTGGTGGGGTATAAGCTTCTGTTGCGTGGTAGCTACAGTAGCCTCACAGCTCCACGTCTGAAAGGGAGCTGAATTAGAGAGGTTAAACCTCTTAATTACTCAGCTCATTATTCATTGACTGCTATGAAACCATCATAAACAGCACCGTCCAATGGCATGTTTTGTTGATGTTGTCAAACATGTTTTATGTTGTATTTTATTCCCTAATATATGAAATTCAGCAAATAAACTGTAATTGTGCTTGAACCCCTTAAAATCCCAGACTTATTACATACTAGGGCCTATTATTCAGTAACTACAGGGACTTCAATGCAAATTAATGGAGCTATTCATAGGTTATATAAGTATGTAATAAAACTTTTGGCCATTTAAAGGGTTAAATTGTTTGCTGAATCTCGGATGTGGTAACTTATTTTAACTCAACAAAAAACCTCATTTGAACAGGGGTGCCCACACTTTTGCACACAACCCACTTAGGTTTTAGAGAGGTTAAAAGAAATTATATCAATATGACTACGCAGAGCATAAGCAGTCCAGCCTGGTTTGCAGATATGAAATAAGAAATAATATATAATATGTGTAACAAGCGAACTCATTGAAATCTATTTGTCCAGACGAGCGCTGACCGGTGCACAGGCCTCTCTCAGCTCTCTGTGCTCCTGTTGGGTTTTGTTGGTTATTATCTTGTCCTGAAGAGGGGCATCTCTCTCTCTCTCCCTCTCTCTCTCTGGGAAGACTCTCTAAAGCCTGCGATGAAATATTGATGAGTTATTGCGTTCGCTTCACTGCTCTAAAACATATAGATCCAACCGGCGAACAGGCAGAACTGCGACCCAGCCTTGCGCTCAAAAGCCGGGTTTCATAACGGCTCCAGCCGGAGCCACTGAAAAATGAAAGCGCGCCCCAAGACTGTTTCTATTTAGCATGATTAATTCATGTCTGAGCGCAAGGAGATCCAGATTAGCCGCGGACACGGCCACTAGCCGCTTTGCAAACCTTTGCCGGCCTTCTCTGGGACAATTCGTCCCAGTGCTGGACATATATGTCGACTGCAGGACCACAAAGGACCCATTCAGTGCCTGCTGTACGACTGATTGATCTGGGGATTGTAAATATGTCAAAACTCATGGAAAACAACAAGGATATTACAGCATTTGATCACTTATACATGCCCAAACAGAGTCGTTCCCACTGCTGGGGTTCTAGCTGCTATTATGAAAACGACCATTTCTTGACAGATGACAAGTGTCCATCAACCCCGATGAGTGCTGTTGGTTCAGTTTGCTTCTATTAAGCTATAAACATACTGAGCCAAGTAATAGTAGGCTGAACTCTGGATGGACCAGCACTGGACATGACTACGCTTAAGCAAATAAAATGATCCTAACTGGACTTGCTTTCACTGACATGGTGCTCAGTTGTGCTGTAAACCTTTCTGAGCCTGGACCTCATGATTTCTGGACTTATCAGGCGAGACAGGTCAGAATCTAGTGCGCTAACTTCCCTGCTAAAGGTTTTCACTTAGCAGTTAACTAGTAACCATGTCTGATTAGCCTGGTTAACGTCAGAAAGCACAGGCACAAGCATCTGCAAAGGATATCCTCAGCCCAGCTCGCTGGATATTTTAGATCTTTAGGTAGACTCAGCATATACTATCCTTTAGAACTACTCCAAGGGGTCATAAGAGATTTCCATCGGAAATGGAGGCCAGCAAAAGAGAAAGGTCCAGTTGGGGGTCATCCCCAAGGACTGGGCTGCTCTGGAGGCACTTGTAGCACCGGGAAATGCTACGAGCGAGTGTAAGGGAGGGGAGGGATGGGGGGAAAGAGACGCCGTAGGCTCTCCCCTGGCGCATTCAAGAGCCGTGAAGCCTTAAACTCTTTATTAATTCATTGGGTCGTGTGCCTCAAATCAAGCCGGATTGTGCTCAGTGAGCATGATGCACAGCGGGGGACGACAAGCTGGCCTTCCCTCGGCCTGTCCCGCTCTTAATCCGCCGCTCTGAGCCAGGGGTTCGGACGAAGGGTGGCCAGACGTCCAGCTTCCCTTCGGTGTTTGCGACTAATGATTGATATTTCAAGGGAAAACAGACAAGCAAATCGCCAAAAAGCACTGTTGTAAATACGTCGTGGGCTTAGATGCTGATCCTGAAGGAGAATATTATGGTGTTTACATCTGAACCAACTACTCAGCTCGTTTACAAACCACTCTTAGAGTTGAAGAGCATGGAAAAACATTAGAATCTGCAGTGCGGAGGGAAGTCCAGGACCACTACTGGGCTAGATGGACCACCTATTTGGCCTTCATTGGATAAAAGTTGGCAGCAATAAAATGTCCACACAAGTATGTCATTGCAAATGTGCCACTACGTTAGATTGTAGTTATAGGTTCTGCCATCTAGAGGCTAAAAGATGAGAGTCAAACCGGCTGCTAATTGCTAATTAGTTAGCTGCTTCGTGTAAGACCTATTCAAGCATGCCGAAAAAGAAAAAGAAGAGATTCCTGGCCGGAGCACAGAGTGAGAAAGGAGCGCCGTAAGAGGAACGCTACACATAAACAACACCACAGTCCGTAAAACAGAAACTGTCTGTAAATCTTTAACAGAAACTCGGCCTGTCCGTAAAAACGTCACTCACCTGCTAATCTACGCTCAGTTACTCTCGGTTACAACACAGACATGACAATGTGTGACCACACGGCACAAAACCTGTACCTACACTCGCAAAAATGATGGTTCTTTAGTAATATAGAACCATGAGTTCTAAATAGAACCATTTGCATGCTTAAAGGGTTCTCTGCACGGTGAAATGAATCTTCAGATTGATGGAGAATGTGTTGTAAATGCTTCTATTTAGCACCAAAAGGGTTACAAGCTTGACATCGTACAGAACCACACACACATTCTCCATCAATCTGAAGAACCATTTAAACATGCAAATAGTTCTAAATACAACACATGGTTCTATATAGAACCCTTCCCTTTACTAAGGAACTCTCGATCCCACATAAGAGAACATTGGTGAATGTCAGAGTCTTCGTCAAAACTGCGCAAGAGAGTTTTAAGAGGGAATTTAGTCTTAATTTCTTCTCTTATAAGATTAGTCCGTCTATTTCTGGACATTAGGCCTCTTCTTAAGGTCCAGTGTCCAGAAATAGATGGAATAATTATAATATTCATCCAGCAATCTCATAAATAGAAGTAGATTTCGCCAAGAAGTGACTGTTTTCTTCTATTTTGCAGAGCACAGACGCTAAAACATTCACATATTTCTATCTCCAAAATGGTAACTTAACAGAAGAAGGTAAAAGAAAGAAGTTTGAATGTACATCTATGGAGCAGGGCTTTCTTCAGGGTAGTTTTGGAGCATTTCTATTGGCCAGTTCATCATACATTTTTAACACATTGTAAAGTTGAGCTGATATTTTCAGTTTCTGAAGAAAACAAAGAGATTTTCTTCCTACCCAGTAAAAAATGATTCAATGTTTTAACATAGAAAAGTGAGTAACCTGGTCGCCTTAAAATTTTGAGCTCATTGAACTTCAAATAATAAGTTAACAGAATGTAAAACACAGAAACTTACTGTAAAATTTCAACTCAATATTTTACAGCAACCAGATTTCTCAATGTATTACGTTAAAACAATGTTTCACAGTGTACAGTGACAATAAATGACCTACTTTTCTCCTACAGGGGTGACAAAAATATGACATTACTGTTTAAAAAACAGTCTGAGCCACAGAGGAGCAGGCACAAATTCATGGTTACTGTCCATGGTGCAGAACCCCGAACGATGGGCTATCCTCTTTTTTAAGGTGTTCTGTTGGCTCTGCCTGGACGGGACGTTTGTTGTGAAAGCTGCGAGAGCAAACGAAGCCCCGCAGGCTGCGCTCTCGCACTTCTGTCCCGCTTCGCACCACAGAAGACCTGCGTCAGGCTGCTGACTCACAACATGTAGTGTTGTTATTAATGTAAAAAGCTTCTTGTGGGAATGAAATGTGTGATAAGCCCACTTTATTGGGCCTATAAAGCACAGACTGCGTGGTTACTACACCTCTATGACCGCTGCCTTTGTCAACACGCTATACTTTCTGGGATAAAACTACACTGGGTCCAGTGTCGTTCAATGAGGACTGGCCAGCATTGACTGTCCTGCACTGTCCTGCACTGTGTGAACCTTATCAGATCAGTCCAGCTGCTCTAGTACTGCATCTACTGCTTTATGTGTTCACTTTATTTCATTTACTGTGCTGTTTATGACCCCCGCGCTGCGTCCACTCTTCATTACGCACAACTGCCATAACGACAATAAAGTCCAACTGATCTGAAAAAGCTCCACTCTCACGCCCTCTCACCGTCCCGAGGCCTTGTAAACTTCCCCGTCAGCCCTTAAAGCAGCCGTGTTTGATGTTCCGAGAGCGTCTGGGCAGCTCCTTCTGCGCCTGGAGCTACTGTACCGCCCCCCAAAACCTCCCCCCCCCTCGCAATAACCATAATAACTCTAAGTGGAGTTTGATATATATACATGTGAGAAAACCACACCAGACACGAGTTTCATCCCCCGCTTTTAAAGCACCAAAAAGAGATCAAGACCCAAAGAAAGAGGCTTTATAACACACCTGCGCCGCTACGTTCACAGAGAAACAGCCTTTACAAACACTCAGCAACAGCCAGAGGTTTCCCTTTCATTGCCGCTCAGCCAGACGATCGGACAGCAGCACTGCGCTCACTTTTATTTCACACGTCAGGCTCAACTGTCTAGACTGGCAATCAGAATGAGCTTCAGATCAGCAGAGAACTGCTTCACAACAGCCTCAATAGACAAGAAAGACTATATTAATTCATATATGCATGTACATGTATGCTTCTGTACATAGAAGTGCTTATTATGACAACAAGCATCACGATATGTCAAGAAACAAAAGCATTAAATCCAGTGAAACAGGACTAATGATGCTCTCCTTGTAATATAACATGCAGTTGCTCATTCACCAGCTGTTCTCAAGAAGAAGTTTCTTCTTACGCAGTTTTTACGAAGATTCTGTCATTCACCACTGTTCTCTTATGTGGGATTTGTTCTTAGGTAAGAACAGAATCTACACACACTCAAGAGCACAAAGGTGAGAACAGTTCTGCGCTTTAAGAACACGACATGAATCTGACGCAGACTTTTCCTTAGGACTTTTCTCAAGAACACACTTAAGAAGAAACTTAGGAGGATGTTGGAGAACGAGGCCCAGTGTTCTGTAAATACTGGCGAGTTTACGTTATAGATACTCATACTGTGATGGAATTGATCACGATAATGATTAATATCGAGCTCTGCGTTTTGTGGCTGTCAGATCTGAACGTCTCAGAAGTGAAAACATTACAGAAGAAAAAACCTTAATAAGTTTTAATGAAGTTAATATAATGAGTTTTTTTTCTAAGTCATTTTGGAGCATTTCTATTGGTCCGTTTGTTATGAAATTTGGGCAGAGCATAAAGGGCAACTGGTGTCTCTGAATTATGTGAAAAAACTGAAACATGACAAAAGCGAGGTGCCCCTACATATATATATATATATATATATATATATATATATATATATATATATATATATATATATATATACACACTGAAAAGAACATGATTCTTAAGTGGTTTAATTTAGAGCCATGAGCTCTTTATAGAATATATATATATTTGCATGCTTCAGTGGTTCTCTGCATGGTGAAATCGTTCTCCAAATTGAGGGAGAACATGTTGTGCCTGGTTCTATATAGCATCAAAAAGTGTTACAAGCTTGTCAACAACAGCAAAACCCTTTTTGGTGCTATACAGAACCATATACAACACATTCTCCATCAATCTGAAGAACCATTTCACCATGCAGAGAACCATTTAAGCATGCAAACTCATGGTTCTAAACAGAATCATTGCCTTTACTAAAGAACCATTGAAGCTATTTTTAAACGTGTGCACATATATGTATACATATACATGCATATATATGTATATATAGCCTTTTTGAATGGGTTGATACAACAATGTAAAGGATCCTAATGCTTTAACAGGTGAGCAGTGGCTCTAATATGATCTAAAGGTGTTCTACAGGAAACCTGTGGTCCGTATTGGGAACCATGCTCTTTAGAACGCAAAGCCAATACGTTTTAATCCCACGGGTTTCTACTAATGGTCATTTTTCACGCTGGACACAAATCTGACCACTAAGGTTTCACTGCCCATATCTAAGATATTAACTCCTCACCTCCTGACTGCGTCACTGCTGCATTAACACGCGCTGTGCCGTTTTCCGCTCTAACGCATCGCTTCACCCTCGTTAAGTGTCTGTTAATGAGCTAATGAGTCAATCAGGTGCGTTTTAAGGCGCCGCGGGACCGAGAAACAGCGCGTGCACTACGGGAATCAGCAGCAGCACGCGGGCGTCTGTGCCATGCTGCGCGCGGTGCGCTGCGCACGCTAATTCCCCTGCATTTTACATTTTTCTTTGCGGGGTCTCGCGTCATTTTGCAGGCTGAAATCTCTGAGCGACACCTGAGCACGCGCTCCGCTCGGTGCTCTCAATGCAGCTGTCTCGCGCGCTTCCTTTGCTTTACTGCACCACTGCAGCAAAACTTCCCACCCGCGAGTTCACTTTCTTCGCTTGGGCACGAGCTAGACCACCTTCGCAAGCCCCCCCTGCCTGCCTGCCTGCCTGGCGCACGAGCGGCCCTGCCTGACAGCTCGTGCATCCTCCATATAAGAAAAAAACAGCATTTCAGACGTGCACTGCACGCGCCGAGGCTGCCGCTTTCTTTCTAGAAGCGTCAACGCTTTCTGTCTCTTCATGCCCCGATAAGCGCGAGGAGGCTGCGGCGTGCACGCGCTTGCACTGTTTTTCTTCTATCTTTCTGTTTTTTTTTGCTCTATATTTAGCTGACCCGTGCGGCTCGAGCACGGTCCGTCTTTGCAAAACGCAAGGCGAGCAGATGCTGGACGTCGCACGTTCGCACGAGCGTGTCTGTCCGTCCGTTCCTCCGTCGGTCCGTCTGCGCGTGCATCCGGCAAGCTAATGCACGAAACGCACGTTTTGCGCATTCATATTTTAGAGGAGACTTTCTGCACCGCGGTGCCACTCCGGTGCACGAGCTTCAGGCGCCCGGGTAATGCAAAGGCGCCTACTGAAGGCACGTGCTTAATGCTCCCAAAGGAGCTCGCACGTTGGTCTTACACTCCAGCAGCGCCCTGACGCTTAAACTGGAACACTGCACGGTTTCGCTACTACACGATTTTGCGCAAAATAGCGCAAAATAGCCTTTAAACCGCTCCGTGTTCAAAACAGCACATTCAGTCGCTCACCTGAGTCATGAGCCGGTCGGCGCCCGTGTTCTCCTCGTCCTTAAAGATGATGTCGGGGTTGTAGTTGGGGATGAGCTCCTTGAACCTCTCGGAATTCCGCGTGATCTTGCCCTCGTACCTGCCGCTGGCGCCCAGCGTCTTCTCGGCCACGTTCGGGATGAACTGCTTGTAGGCGAGCGGCGTGAGCTTCTTGGGATGCTTCCTGCGCCCGTAGCCCCTGCCCGGCCCGCAGGCCAGCGCGAGGGAGAGGGTCAGGGCGGCCAGGAGAGCGGATCTGGCCAGCAGCATCATGGTCGGACGCGTCCTGACCGTCGCGGAGCCGTGCGTAAAAACCGTGCGTAATAACCGTGCGTAATGACCGTGCGTAATGGGGCCGTGCGTCCTGGCCGTGCGTCCTCCTCCTCCTCCTCTTCTGCTCTCCTCGTGCTCCTCCTCTTGTCAGGCACCAGTGCGCGTGCCCCCCCGCCTTTACCGCGGCAGGTGGGAAAAGCTGCTGGAGGAGTGCATTAGAAGGGCTTTGGATTGGTGGTGGTGGAGGTGGTGGGGGGGGTGGATGGATGGATGGATAAAAAAGGGGGTCTTTGGAGAGGGTGGGCTTTGGGTTTTGGAGCGCAAGGTGGTGCTGGGGGTCTGGGAGGCACGCGGAGTCTCTCTCTCTCTCTCTCTCTCTCTCGCTCTCTCTCTCTCTCTCTCTCTCTCTCTCTCTCTCTCACTCTCTCTCTCTCGCTCTCCCTCTCGCTCTCTATCGCTCCTTTATGTACGGTAGCTGCAGTGGGTCGCAAGCAGGGACTCTGATTGGCTCCTCCGCTCCTGTCCCTTCTTCTGATCTGAGCCCGCCAGAGGAGAGGCTGATATGTTTCCTCAACCTGGAGGGAGGGAGGGCTGAAGGAGGGAGAGGAGGAGGTGCCGTGGGGAAGAGTTCCGCCCCCTGCTGCTGATGCTCCAGCGCGAGACTATACGATTCAATACGATTTACACAATTAAAAAAGCTTTGAGAGCCAGTTAGTTCAGAAGAAGACGCTGCTCAGCTTTCAGAAGCTGCAATCTTCATTGATAACATTATTACTATGTTATTATACTGTCATAACCGTATAACTGTCATATGTTATACATTAAGTTCTACTACTGCTGCTGTAGGGATGCCATAGAGCCCCACTTGGTTCCCTAAAGAACATGAGAGAACCATGTTTGCACAAGAGATTTGTGAATAAAGTACAAAGAACCCTCATGTGATGTATAGGTTTTATATCTGTTTAAAGATTTTGACTAGAACCTGGTTCTTTAAACTTTGAAAAGGTTCTTCACCCTCGCACATCTCATTTTAAGAAATGGTTCTCTAAAGAACCAGCCACTGAAAGTTTATTAGGAGACCACTCGTGGTTCTATTATGGTATCACTACAAAGAGTGTAGTAGCAGTGCTATTACATATTATTGTTTTATTGTATTATTGTGCTGTATTAGTATTATTAGTTATTATAGTACAATATTAGTATAATTATTAGTAATAGTAGTGGTTTTACTACTACTATTATTATTAGTAGTAGTAATAGTAGTATAATTAGTATAATGGTAGTAATAGTAGTAGTAATGGTGGTGGAAGTGTTTTATGTTGTTATTATTAGTAATAGTAGTACTAATAGTACAATAGTATTGTTATTAGTATTATTTGTAGAGTTATATGTAGTATTGTAAAAGCACTTTGAGCTGCTTTGTGTAAGAAAGGTGCTCTGTAAATAAAATGTATTATTATTATTATTATTATTATTATTAGTAGTAGTAGTAGTAGTAGTAGTTATAATAATAGTAGACATTACAATGTTGTTTTTATTATTGTCAGGCTATTATTATAACTATTAGCTTCAGTATTCATAGTGTTTTTAATGATAATTGTGTTATTAGAAGTAATAGTATTAATAGAACTAACAGTACTTATAGTAATGGTATTGGCAGTGTTGTTTTTGTTGATATTATTATTATCATTATTATTAGTTCTAATAATGGTAGTGGTAATAGTGTTGTTTTTGTTATTGTAAGGCTATTATTATTGTTATTATTATTATTATTATTAGTAGTGGTGGTACTAATAGTAGTAGTGTTGGCATTAATATTAGTAGTTATATCAATGGTAGTGGTAACTGTAGTGTTTTTATCATTATTAATAGTAATCACAACAATAATAGCATTATAATAGTAATATTAGTAATTATATTAATAGTAGTGGTAGTATTATTATTATTGCTACACTGTTATTAATAAAGGTTCTGTTCAGGTACGTTTTTTGTTCATCGAGGTACAAACAGTGTAAATGTTCCTCAAAGCTCCAACAGTGGTTTTAAGGTCTGATTGTGAACCTTAAATAAGTGTTTCCAGGTGAAAAGTTCGTATTTGTACCTTTTCATAACCGAATGTTTTAAACAGAACAGTAAAATAAAAGCCTGGAGACGAGACGGGGTGTGTGGAGTCAGTACAGCTTAGAACATATCATTTCAGTGGATTATGGTTCAGTTATGTTCCCTGACTAAAGGAACTGAGATGGACCCTTGAGGGTCCCACCCCAGTGACCAGATGGGAACTGCCCCAGTGACAGTTTAGTACCTTTATTTCTGAGAGTGTAGCAGTAACAGCAATAATAGTACTAATAGTGATATTAGAAGTTATAGTGATAGTAGTGGTACTGTTTTTGTTATTATAATCATTAGCTGTGGCTGTAATGGTATTAGTAGTAGTAATAGTAGTCGTAGTACTAGTTATGGTAATATTATTATTGTTATTAATATTATTATTATTATTTTGGGGGGCAAAGTGTTGGAGGCCAAAAAGACTAAAACATTATACAGATAAAGAAGATGAGTTTTTAAAAAGGTGTGTTTTTACATCACACTATAACTAAGAAAGTAAGCGATAAATATTATACTTTTTAATGCATATATTAGCTCTCTCAGTGTGTGGGGGGGCGTGTATGTGGTTGGGGGGGGCCTTCTGGCAGGCCAAATCAAACATCCTCATGGGCCAACTCTGCCCAGCCCTGATGATGAAAACGCTGCGCCGCTATTGGCTGACAGGAGTGTGTGTTAAACTCTGGCTTTTGTCTCTTTAATGAGTGAGCAGTGATGTTTAATAAGTGAACTGCCACACTGTAAACTCTAATTACTCTCTTAGTCACTGTGCTCTGGGCTCCACTCGCTCACTGCACTAACCGAGGTTAATAAGCAGGACTCGCGGTGCAGACTACAAATACAGGTAATAAAAGAGTAACGGGGAGGAATCAGGTCCGAGCGTGTCGCCCAAAATCCTCACTAAACTCAGAGTAACAGGCGCTGAAGGAGCGCGTCAGTGCAGGGAGAGCTCAATAAAGTAAATGCTTAAAGTAAAAAAAGTGGTGAAACGTCCAGACACACACAGCGGCCACGTTTGCTGACCACAGCTGCTTAAACGTCCAGACCAAAATGTGAATTTTACATCTCATATGCTTTTCTTTGGGTAACAATTCAGTAAAGGAGGATATTACAATGCCCTGGTAACTAACTTTGTGCTCATTACTGCTTTATTACACAATAACTACTGTGTATTAAGCATTTCCCAGAGCAGTTTCATTAGTATACTATAAATCAACATTTTAGGGGTCATTATTGAGCCAACAGATGGTAGCTCACTTATTAACCCAATAACTGCCAATGAACTGGCTGCTTATTACTACTTTATTAAGCAATGAAGCATTTTAAGCACTATTATTTGCTTATTACACATCATAATGCTGTGCACAGCCCTTATCTGAGCATTGAGCTTATATTTAAGTGTTTATTAATGAATTCTGTAATGAAAAGTCTGATTAGTCACATTTCGCCCCATCAGAATTGTTTATTTGTTCTTCTTTTAAACACTAGTTTGGTCTTTTCTTTTGATTCATGTCACTCAACAGTAAATCACCAATTAGCTCTAAATGAAAACTGACCCTCTATTCTGAAGTGAAACCTCAGATTTTTAGTTAACATTTACATTTAATAAGATGGTAATTTACCCTATTTTTTGCTTAATAAAGTAGTAATAATGCATACGTTATTCCAGCTTCCATTCTTTTCAGGAGACTCTCTTTCAGTTCCTCAAAGAATCTGCAGACACACCTCCAAAGTTCAGTCTTAGAAGCTGGTTGATCATTTTCTGAAGTAATCAAACTCATTCAGTGGTGTTGAGGTCTGGACTCTGGGGTGGTCAGTCCATTGTTCAGCTTCTTTGTTTGGTGTGTCCGTCTCCTTTTCTCAGTGAGGTTCTTCTTGACAGCTACACATCCTTTCAGACCCACAGCGCTGAGTCGTCATCTCACAGTGGAAGGATGGACAGAAACACCTGTGGATGTTTTCAGATCTGAAGCAGCTTGATTTTCTCCTCTCTCTCAGAGATGAAAGCTTTAAGTGCTGTTTATCTGATGGGGGCAGTTCTAAGGGTCTAACAGGTCTTCCAGGTGGTTGTTAGGAGACACATTTTCTCTGGAGCTTTTTTTCACTGGGAAACATATGAAAGTATCAGTCCTGCACTGAAGAGTTTATTTACTGCTTGAACTATAGCTGCATTATTCACTTATTAAAGTCAAAATATGCTATTTGCTAAATTATTTTATCAAAATTATTTAGTATTTACAATAAATTAATCAGTATAAACTGTGAACTAGCTATTCAGTGACTACTATTAATTATTCAGCATCTACTATGAATTATTTAGCATATATTATGAATTATTCAGTATCTACTATTAATTGTTCGGCATCTACTATGAATTATTCAGTATCTACTATGGATTATTCTGTGTCTATTATGAAATATTCATTAACTACTATGAATTATCTAGTATCTAATAAGAACTAGCTAATGTCCAGGTGATGTAGTGCTGAGAGTGTGGAGCTGACCCGTCTATGTTCCACCTGCAAATGCCCTTTTTTCGTAGTTCTGTTTGTAGGTGAAAGGCAGCCTTACCAGTGTTCTTCTGTAAACACTGTAGTGAGAGTGTGTTTGTGGGCGGGGCACAGAGAGTATGATTGAAATGTGGACTCATACAGTTTTAATGTATGAGCTTAATATATAGAGCTTTATTCTATATCGATCTGCTCCTGATAAATTTCTGATCTGGTTTTCCCTTCATATATTTTGGCACTGAATAGCGCTGATGGCGTATGTTTGTGCTTTGAAGGCCCAAAGTATCTGAGTTTACTCTGATTCACACTGTTCATCATTTTCATTACTTCGTCTAAATCACTGTATATGGTCTCCAGGGTCCAGACAGACTTATACTGCAGTCTGAAGTCGAAATGAGTGCAAGACATGGCAGGACGAGACAGCGGACACGGCAGAGACCAATTCCACCAAGACTGTGAGTGTCCTTCCATGAGCAAGCAGCAGAAAATCTGCTGGCGTTGTGTTTGAACACATAAAACAGTCAGTTTGATTTACCCTTCTTGTGCAAACAGTGTCCACCAACAAAACACTCAGCCAGAAAGAACTTTGGAATTTGGTGAGTTTGGTGACAGAAAGGAAACTTGGATGGAACAGGATGGAGACTGTGAAGGGACATAACTGATAGACATGCTACCAATACAGGGACATGGCTGATAGACTAGCTACCAATACAGGGACATGGCTGATAGACTAGCTACCAATACAGGGACATGGCTGACAGACTAGCTACCAATACAGGGACATGGCTGATAGACATGCTACCAATACAGAGACATGGCTGATAGACTAGCTACCAATACAGGGACATGGCTGACAGACACGCTACCAATACAGGGACATGGCTGACAGACTAGCTACCAATACAG